ATAGTTCACGAAAATTGGGCCTATAAAGTTTAACATGATGTTGATGTATGACTATATAATAATATGTTTCTTGACGGAGCCTAGAAACATTAGTCTTTATTCATCCATTTCCTGGGCTGTCACCTGTCAGTTGTACGTGCTTTGATACATTCCAAGTTGTTATACTATTTTCAAACTCTCGATAACCAGATCAGACTTGGAAGTCTGAAACTCAGTAATGAGTTTTTATTTCTTTTTTGGGAATGGAGACCTTACTTCCTCCAAAAATGAAACTCCAAACTGCATTTACCTAGAATTTTCCATCGATCACCCACAAACACCCTTTTCATCCTTCAAGGCTATTTGTCCAGCTGAACAGTGAACATGGAGAAAGGTTGTGTGAGATGTTATTCCTCTAAGTCTATACACTTGCCAATAAAGTGCGAGAAAATTACATCTGATAAGATATGTTCAACAGTCGACCGGGATTAAATTCCTGACTGGGAATAAGATGTTATGTTGATGAATGTTGCCGGGGCAAGGAAATGACACCGGGAACTTATAGCCTTTATCAGTAGCATTACTGAAGCCTAGAAAGTGTCCATCATTAAAATCTAATTTCGCACAATCTGAAATTGTCTGCATAACTGAAATTGACCGCATAACTTTAATTCCGAATAATTTTGCTCAGCCACAACTGCCACATACATTTGCATAATTTTGTTAATGAAAACTTGTCAAAATTTGGAACATTTTGAGTCTCTTGCGTAGGAAAATGTAAAATTTTTTGAATTTTAGCGTTGGGAGCTTTTGGGCGGGTTAATCGGCATTATTTGTGACATCGCGGAAAAATGTCTCATTTTTCGTGTGCTAATGTGGGACTTGGTAGATCATAGATGGTCATTTGTTTGGTTGTCATAGCTTATTACCGACACTGAACTTGTTTACAAATAGCTTGTCAGTCGCTCTTAGCGATAGTTGTAATGTACTGTGTTTTAAACGACCGGCTCACAGACTAGAAGTAATAGTTTGTAACCGTTGATAATCTTATAGACTTTAGCTTGCTTACTTTCCAACTTCTGACCAAACCAAGCTTGAGACTTTATAAAATAATTATCGGCTAGCACAGAAAGTTTGTCATCAAGATACATCAAGAAATACAGCTATTGACCAATCATTTTGCAGTACCGACCAAAAAGCTTATCACATTCATATACAAAGAATTATCATTCCTAAATTTCAATTTTAACACAGGACAGTAGCAAAAATAGTATGTTGAAAAAAACTGCAACTGAATTGTGATAGCTGAATCTTAAAATCAGCTTAAATTTAGGCTTTATTCTGCCTTAGATATGAGCGGTATAACTAAATTTGACTCAGTTATTGAGTTAAATAGTAATCGGAATTCTAGTATAGTAGGTCCAAATTATCATTCAAAGAGTCTGTGTAACTTCTCCGCCAACTTTATTTGTTGTGGTATTTTTGATATGATAAAATTATAATTTCCGAGGAGATGGATCTCTCGAGATTCTCAATTTAAATCACCGCAGATTGCTAAATCCAACTCATATGTGCCGGATATTGTGATCTGACTTCACCAATACTCCATCAAATCTGAACTAAAGCTATAATGTATGATTTTAGCTACTTGTCTGCACTTAATGTTAACCCATCTCCGACAAATTGGGTGCTTAGTGGTGTTGAAGTATCGCATTTCGTGTGATGTTCCACCGTCGCAAATAAAATTCATTTGTCGAGAACTTTTAAAAAGAAACAACATGTGTTTAGCACCAAACAATCAGTGTACCAACTAATAACTATGTTGCAATCTTTTATTGTCTCTCTATTATTTGGCATGATTTTATTCTCCAGATCTCAGGATATCTGTCAGCGGCAAATTACAGTTGATTCGTAATTAAGTCGCAACATAATAGTTGGTACTAACTTAAAAGGAACTCAACATCATATTACTATGTTACAAATCGTCGCGTGAGGATTTTCCTGTGCCCACTGATTATCAAGTATTCTTATTAGTTATTCCAACATTTGTTAATGCGAATGCTTTCTGTCAGGGGATGGCCTTCAAGTTCGGTGATTAATGACCTTAGAAGATAAAGTACTGAAGGGTTTTTTTTGCAAAAAAGAAGAATCTTATAGTTATTTTTAAATAGAGGCCAATGAGAATTGCTTCGTTATTTTCTAATGTAATTTTGAGTAACGGGCGTTTGGTGTAGCAGTTATTAGAAACTATCAGTGCTGGTTCTCTCAATGCCCTGCCCATGCAATGAAATAACGCTCCCCCCTCTCCCACCCCCGGTATTTTTGGAGATTGAAGCGGCATAGTGGCCACTCATTTTCGGTGTAAATACTTCAGTCGCTCTCAGCCACATAATTATTGGTGAAATTTGATGACCAATTGTGAATTGGCGATTCATTATTCAAGCTACGTCCTGTCATATCGATGTAAATTGATGAAGCGGTATTCATCAATGTTGCATTCAACTGGTTGTACTCTTTTCCTTTATATTTATTCCCTTTTAGTTTTAAATTATAATGTCGTATTTTCATTTCCAGTCTTGACATTGAATGAAACGTACCAAAACTGAGATAAAGTTAGTGCCTTAACTCAAGAAATGAGGAATGTTTAAAATAATCTAAAGATCGTTGTTTTATTTCAAGAATTACATTAAAATTTAGGAAATTGGATGTGTTCAGGTCCATCTAAAATATTTTTCGCTAGAAACTATAATTAGATTACCATGAAAGCATTGTTCAAAACTCGGCCAGGTAGACCAATCAACACTCAGTATAACACTAAAGGTGGTGACTGGATGAACCAATAAGAATTGACGATGTGAAATTTCGACTTTTAACTAATTTGTAATTGAGATATCAAATTATGTGCGACTCTAAACTGTGGTGAAGTTTATTAGTACACAACATGTTTGTTGGGTAAAAATTTAAATTTCAGTTGGAATTTCATTGATTACAGCTTTGTATTGTATGCTTTTATTCCAAATTCCAATGTCCATGTATCATAGTGCTTTTTGTCAAATGACGCAAAGTAAGTCCTCGATAAATTCAAGACTATGGAATGTCACTTAGCACAAGGAATAGTTAGTTGATGTAATGATTCCTAGAGGCTAGAAGTTAATCAATCATGACGGTGCCGCTCTTACTTGCGTAAGTATTAGGTACCCGACAAAAACTTTTATCCTCAGTCGATTCATCTTACTCGATTGATCTTATCAGAAAAATAATCATCGTCAAATATTCCCTTCCATTTATTATCTTTGTCCTTAGCAACATCTTTTAACGAAAAAGCCAACCAAATTATATAAACCAAGACTTCAACTTTTAGGTCAGACTTCACTGTGACAAATTAAGTTAATGTCTCCGATATTTAACTGAAGAATATGTTTAGTCAAGAACTGCTATTTTCAGGCAGCCTTAGAACATGCCCAAACACTGCCTCATATCGTCCGATATAATATGAGGCCACCTGATTAACGATCTATAGATACGTCTGTTGTGTTTCGCATATACAATAATTATACAATTTATGTACTTGTGCTTCGTATGGTAACACGACTTTTGTCTGACAGCGACTCTTGTCCGAATCGAGTGGCCGAAAAAACGACTCTTGTCCGAATTTGAGATCTGATCCGAATACGACACATATCGAACTGAAAATATAGCTGTACAGTTTAAATAAATACGTCTCTCATCAAGCCAAACTTTGCTAAAAATAGAACAAGCACTAGTTACTGATGCTAGGTTGTGGATACTTCAAAATAACTATTATTAGATGAATGAGTGAACCACCAAAGGTCAAGATAAACAGCGGCTGGTTTTCTTGAATTAGCTCAAAGTAGAATTATAAACGCTGCAGATGTCGAATTGCTAATAATAATATGAAGCTTGGTAGTTGATAAAAGTTGGCGCACCATTCCAACTTCATCTTCTCTACATATCCTGCATCTGCTGATAGGTTATTTATTAGGTTAAACACTGTTTTTCTGCTGATAGTATCATATGCTGAAATCATGTCTATTCCCATCTTCTAAAACTTTCAGTAGCGGTTCTACTGATCCTAACGTACGCTGACACCATATAAAGTCACTGCAACTCCTACCATGTAGTCTCCCAAGGGCCAGTGTTGCTGGCAATCCATTTAATAGCCGAGTCTTATCAATATCAATTATCAAATAATTAAAGTAAGAACTTTTCTGGCACCATTTGACAGAGCGAGTGGTTAGAGCTCAATTTGTGTAATTGTAATCAATAATTAGTGATTATTTGGTTGCGCCCATATATCAGGGTATACCATACGGCAATCAACATTCCGATATCCTACATTTCCGATTAGTTTGCAAAGTTGGAAACTTACAAAGTAACCAAACTATAACCTATCCGTGCTTGTCGAGCGTGACAACATTGTAACATTCTTCTTTAATCTTTCCCCGAAAGACTTTGTTTTCCCCGCAATTCCATTCTTCTTTCATTGTTCCACTGAACAGCTTCGGTATGCACTTTCAGACATGTAGCTATAACACTAGCTAGATTTTCCGTTCAAGGGAAAGATTGGTACCACTTTGGCGCACCCAGCTGATAAAATTTCACTTAACACGTACTATTACGTCGTACGTACACAAACGATTTTCCGACAAATTCCTCCGCCAATTGCCATAAAGTGTGATATCTTGTGTCTGGGTCGTGTGCTTAATTTAGTACCGACTTCAGCGAGACCACGATGGTAGCCGTTTAGTGAGTGTCATCTTGAATTTGTGATCTGCATTATTCTAATATTTAGTGTCTCGAAATGATAAAAATAGGGTGTCATCGCTTTTACGTGTTATAAATATAATGCGATTGATATTTGTGAGATAGCATCTAGTGTTTACAAGTAATTGTTAACCGATTTTTTTGTCCAATATTTTGTAGAGGACAGTGATTTAACGAAACGATTATTAATTGATTAATTCCATTTAATTACGACAACTAACTATTTTTCTAGTACACAGATTATGTTTGAGGCTGACAATGAAACATTGGAGGACGTGCTCATCCTCAAAGGATCACATCAGACCATCTTCTTCACCGGGAACCTTCTCCTAACCCTCACCTCTCTCCTCTTCAACTCTGTCGTTCTGTACGGAGCTGTAAACAGACAAGCTCTAAAGTCTGACCATACAACAGTTCTCCTCCTAGAGTTTCTCACTGTTTTGGATCTGCTGATCACAGTGTTCAGCGTGGTGCCCCTTACCATTGTATCTTACTCAGGAAGGTGGATTCTGGGGGCGAGTTTGTGTGTAGCTAATGCTGCAGCGAGGAGGTACCTTTATCTAACTGAGCTCATGGTCATCTCTTACATTTCCCTTTACAGACTTAGTTTGGTGATGGTGAGAAAGAGCAGACCGGTTAAACGGGGTCCTCGACGGAAAAGAAACAGACTTATTTTTATACGACTAATTCTAATCGTGATGGTCATGCTGACTCTACCTTTGTTCCCACTTCTAACAACATTTTTGGGGGACTCTAAAGTTAGATTTGAGCCGGGATATATGTCATGCACTGTCCCTGAGACAGCAATTGTTTGGGGTTACGTTTCACTGGCCTTCTTGGTTGTGCCCAGTGGGATAGTGATCTTCTCGAATCTAGTCATCCTCTACAAAGTGATCAGAATCAAAATGCGACCCACCATAGGATTATTCTCGGGTCTCAAGAATGCCATAAATCCAGGAACGATGAGGAAATCTGTCAGCTCTCGTGTAAGAAAAATCAACCCATCAACTTACATCACAATTTGCTTCATTTGCATTTTCTTTGTCATATCATACTCGCCGGTATTTGTTATCATAGCTCAAGGAGGAACACAGATTATAGAATCGTCTGAGCCGCACTGGTTGAGATTCCTCACCATAGAACTATTATCTCTAAATGTACTCTCTAATCCGATAGTCTATACTTTATCAAACATGAGATTTAGACGTTATGTGATGAGCCTGCTGAAGTGTAAAAGTATGAACAGTCATGCTGGGGCCACCAAACGACAAAGCCCAGAATCTTCAGCAGAAAATGTTTTCAATGAGACCATCAGCAAATTTTTTTCGACGGCTACAAGAAAAAATTCGGCGTTTAATCCTTCGGTAAGTAATCGTAGTTCACGACAAAACTCTATTTCTCGTGCATCTCTCGCCGTTTCTAAGACGAAGACACAAAGACGGCGTTCAGAATACGACCAGCCCATGGCACCTTCAGGAAAATGGTGCAGTCCAGGTCTTGGGATTGCAGACAGACGGGCTCGAAAGATAAGTTCCACTTGCAGTATCATGCCAAATCTTGAAGAGGATGAAACCATGTCATTTTTCAATCACCAAGACACATCCCAACTAAGGTGCGCTTCTGAAATAATCAGTTCGAATAACAGACTAAGTTTTTCTTCGCCGCTAATGAACAATAAAAGTGCCTCCTCCTCCTCCTATAGCGACATGAACACTGCGCGTTCTTCTCTCAGACCAAGTATAATCTCGACCGGGGAATTGTTTATTTCTAACGTTTCTCTCGACCCAAATGATAACCTATCGATAAGGAGACAAATTAGTGACCCTTGCGTTGGGAACAGGAATCTAAAATCAGATTGTAGAGAAAAAGGAACGACGCAAAAAAGACTTAAGTCTCTCCCGATATCCTATTTGGTAGATCAAAGTAACACTTCAAAATTGAATGGATTACCTTTTGTAGTAGTGGATGAACATAATCATAAGGGAGTAGAAAATAATTTTTCAGCTTTTGGGGCACTCATTGAGCTACATTGTATTAGGAAAGACATTAAAGCTGTTGAGAGATCATCCTCAGAAATTAACTCGTCAGATTAAATTTTACTTACTTGTTTGATAGCATATAATAGTATATAAGCATTTTATCCCAGATTTAAGTTGCAAGGTTTGATATGTCATTTCACAATAATGTACTCTGGTCGTAATATTTAAGTTAAACCAACTACTTTAAACAGTTAAAGAGCAATATCATTTCTTATAAATACATACTTAAAGTCAAACTTGCCCTTACGACAGCATAAATTGCAAATGCTAGAACTATCTGATACTGCATTTTGATATCATTAATAAGTCTCTGCAGCTGTAATGAATCATGAACTTCTTCATTATCAAATCATTAATAGACATCCTTGACGGATTAGATTCACAATCTTTGACTGATTAAACTGTGTATCTTTGACAGATTACAGTAGCGTAATACTATTATCAAAATGGCATTCGCTTCAGTTTTCCACTCAGAAATGTAACCGGTACGGCGAAGTTTAATTTGATTGTTGTCTAGACTGAAGGTAGTACATTGGGAAACCTGAAGAATGTGTCAAGACATTGCAGGACTGTTCAGCAGATTAGGAACTGGACAAGTTCCACATCTCAACTTTAGTCGATAAAATCTCGTCTGAAGTTTTGTTAAACTCCAGTTTCCGGACGAAGTCTTGTGGAAATTGTCCTATATTTAGGTCTGCAATTTATAAAGATGAGGTCAGATAGAACTCTCTGAACTATGTTTGATGACAGGCCGTGTATAAACAGTACGTGAATTTCATGCCGCTGTCCTTGTTGGCCTCTCATTAACACATCTCCTAACCTAGTAGTAGTAAAGTTATACGAAAGGATAAGCTGTCTTTCGGGCGGGAACTATCTGGCTGCAAAAGAGTAAATTTAAGAAACCCTACAAGGTTTGAAAAGCTGGCCGTCGAAGGAATAATTTAATTGGTGTTGGATCATAGTGGAACAGGCTAACATCGGCCTTAGTACACCGCTTAGATTCCATGGTAAATATTGACGCATAGGACCAAGTACCTACTAGTGCTTACCTCTATAAGTTACTACATACAATACAAAGATTTTTTAAATCCGAGAATCTAAGTTATAATTGTATAAATCTATGATACTGATAGCATCCATTGTATCCTAAATCTGGCCAGGAAAATGGTTAACACTTGACTGATGCTTATTTTTGAACATTCACATTAACTTTATAATAATGGATTCTGTAATTGGGGATTCACCAGGACTCAAAAAGTAAATTAGAAAACAGTCGGTGCAACACTGAAATGTTGTGTTTCACCAGCTGAAATGTTTCAAAAATTAAATTCATGGGTATCTTCTAACTTTACAACTTAAAAATATTCCCTGGTTCCCATTTTGTCAGATTGAAGGCCAAAGATATGACTTTAAATTTAATAATCCATGCCCGTTCTGTATGCAAAGTGGATGCTCTTTTTGTTGATACTTCGTATTACTCAGTGAAACTATAAAGGTACACGTAGTATGCAAATCTGTCTGTACTAAGCTTACACCTACACTGTGTAGGAAAATATAGCTGTTCCTGTAAAATCAGCTCCATTTTTTGCCACATTTCTTGTTGAAGTTACGATTATCTCCCATAAAAATGGGCGTTCGTCAATATATCTTCATAGTGTGTTGTGCCAGCATCACAGGACTATCTTATCTTCTCTCCTACTGCTATATAGTCATCGTTAACAGACTAGCTGGACAAAAGACTGCCCTTTACATTTCAGCAGGGGCCATCACGCAGTGGGTATTTTGTGCAATCTCAGCGCACTTCTTCTTCATCATATACAACAAAGTCAGGTACGGGTTAAAACTGTTGTATTTGTTGTCATCTATTGATGAGTTTCACGAGGAATTCACCCCTTTTATAATTCTTAATATGTCACTCTAAAATTAGATGGTTGCTCAAGAAACTTCGATTTAAGGAATTCTGACCATTAAAGACGTAAAACTAAATTCCACCAGACGAGACAAGATAGCTGCAGTTTTGGTCGGCACACACACGGGAGTGTTTTTATGCCTCGTCATCGGAGCAACTGTTGTAGACCAGACCAACCAGTCGATCGACGGAATGTGGCTGGTTCTCGCCATCTTTTCTGAGGTGATCATGAGGATAACTATGGAGTTTTTTCAAGTGGCGACCATCAGGGATTGGATTATTGAGGTATGTCACGATTGGAATCCCAACAATGTTGATATTTACTTGTAAACAGCGAAAACGATTACCTTAGTTCTTTTAAAGATCGGAGAACGGTCGTTAATACCTAATGGTCAAGAAGAATACCTTATTTTGACGTCTGACCCATTAATCCTGCTCCCAGATATCAGATAACGACAATGATATGTTGATGACAAGCAACACGTGGTACAACATTCTGGCCGTTTCCATACCCGGACTAATGACTCTTGGTGGAAATCATCTCTTTGATATGGGGCTAAGCATCACTGGTAATAGGGCTTATTATTATCATAGACAAGCTTAAAAGGGTCTACTGAAATTACCTTACTGTTTAGTATTATGAAGGTTACAAATTTGTGTTTTTGGTCCATCCCGTCATATCTTTAACGGTCGGTACATGTACAAGTAGTTATTTGGCTAATACAGGCTAGTCCTAGATAAAATGTAACATTTTGCTCCTGCAAGTGCAAATTACTTTGATTCACGACATTAGTTGATGATCTAATATGCTGTTCATTCTTTGACGTTCATTTCTACGTTAGTTTGCCACATAAATCAATCACTGCTGCATTAAAATGTCATTTGATGGAGCCAAAAATATAAATATTCAAAACATCAGCAATTTTCTCCTGGTAATCGAAGATTTCCAAGGAAGGGGTAGTTGCAGTCAAAATCATAACCGTTAAATGTGGCAGTTTTTCAGGCATCCTGCCATATTTTTCACGGTCAATATTTTCAACGGTCATAATTTAACCCGCCATGATATCAGATATGACAGCGATATGAATGTATAAAGTTCATAATAGTTCTAAGAAATTATGTTGCGAATAATTCTAAGAAATACAAAAACAACTGTTTAATTCAAAATTCAAATCACATTCCATCGTTGTCAATCGTATCGAATCGAATATTCCCATTCACTCCACAGAAGTAAAAATTGTTCCCTAAATTGTTTTATAATCGCACGACATTTCCATATAAGGAAAAGGCTCCGTTTCTATTTTATTGTGAGGATTTGTTGTCAGGGTTAGGATATCTGGAGAACAATTAGGTAAGTGACATACGATTTTGACATACGTCAACAAACAACCTACTAGCCAATATGTTAACTCTAATTCTTTTATATTTACCACAAAGGAATACCTTTCAAAAAATAGACATAACTGAGCCAAAATTGTTGTTGGCCTGATTTTAAGACAATATACCCTATATTTAATTCTACTCCAACAATAGCGATAACCACTGATAGACTAAAAACCCTCTCTTTCTAACACTAACTCGGGTTCTGAATTTCTTTAACTTATTAAATTATATTTGTAATAAGTTAACACTGTAACTTCTACAGGAATCGTCCTCACCCTCGGTTGCACAGCCATCTTACTTCAACTAGTAGCTCTGGCTGGCATCATCTTCATCATTGGGTCCATACGAAGCAACTTGGATCAAGAACCAGAGTATGAAACTCTACCTCCCATCTCCAACATAGGTTACTTCTTCAAACAGTCCGCCTGGGAGTTGTCTATGGGTCTGGATGTGGAGAGTGTAGGCCTCATTTCGTTCGGACTGTTCATGAGACTGTTTCTTGCAAACAAAGGAGTCACTCCCTACACCATCAGTGTTCTGATTAGTCTCCAGGCTGGGGCTGCAGTGATCAGTGCTCTCTTCTTCCCGGCCATAAGACGCCTCTTCAAAGGTGGATATGTTATCACTGTCTGCTCCATTGGAAAAATCGTCTTTGCCGCAGTCTTTCTCTTCGTGGTCTTCAGACAAAGTTACACAGCGGATTTCGAGGAAGAATTGGTTATAATAACACATGATTCCATCTTCATAGCGATAGAAGACTACATCCCTGAGGACACGGCTGTAATGACATGGGTCATAATGGGTAGTTCAGTTCTCCTGGCAATGTTTTCTCAGATCGATACCCTCTTCTCCAACCAACTAATCCAGGAGTCTGTTCTTGTGGCTGATAGAGGCAGGTATGCGGGAGTTGAATTCTCTTTAAAGTACATTTTCACTTTGATTAAACAGATTTCGATAGCCTCCTTACCCATGGAGGAACTCATCTTAGTGTTGCTGGTGTATACGTTTGTTTGTGAAATTATTAAGTTGTTTTTTACTACCAAATATGTTATGAAGAGTAGAAAAGGGAACGGTGTTGAAGAGGAACTGAAACTAGAAAAGAAAGGTCTCATAACACCATAGTGAATACTGAATAGTGATGTAGATTTTCAGGGGTTGAACAACACTCAGTCATCGTCGGCTTGTGCCATTTAAGAAGTCATATAAATCTTCAGTAAATGTAACATATTTGGATTGCATTTTAATTAGTAGTTGACAACTCCATAGATGGCATAAGCAAAAGCTGACCGAGTATTGCACAACTCCCTCCTTACATTTTTAATATGGTTTAGCTTTTAATTTGAATAACAGCTCTCGTTTAAGTGGGACAGCGTGGATTTTTTTCTGAACCCTGTTGCTAATAATTTTGTGTTTTATGCTCTTTAACGGTATTTATTATTACTGATCAGTGTGGTTTAAAATAAAATATTTTTATTTGCTTTAGGAAACCAGTAAAATGGTAAAATGTTTCATACTCAGTTCAATTAATTTCCTAGTCAGGCGAGAAAGTGCATTTTTATTTATCACTATGTACTGTATGGAGTTTGGCACGTGAAATATCAAATTCACATAAACATAATATTGTTTGGTCGATCTATTATCCATCTAAATTTCCCAATCGTTACTCGTTATATGAAATGAACGTGTAATTAATCCAAATAAAGCTTGAACTTTCTAGAACTCGCTATTTGTTCTGAAGCCAACATCCGGAATGATAAAGATGTGAACTGAAGTTGCATTGATTTTGAATTTTAACAATAAAGCTACTCCAATACAACAAAAGTCCTGCCCCAGCCAGCGGAAGTAATGATTGTTCGCCGAGAACTCTGCTCCATTGTCGAGTGAGAGCGTGGCTCAGGTCAGTTCCGGACCAAAGTTTGCACGTGCTGCTTTCCGGGGTCACAAATTTGGGGTTAGTAGGGGCGAGATCTGAGTCGCCCTCATAGTTTTGCTCAACACCAAGGATTTCGTCAACAATGTTTAAAATAGTTCTTAGTCTGATGGTGCTGTCTTACTGCGTGGCACATCCAGCTGGTCGTGTTAAACGTGAAGTGGAACTTGAAATGGATGATCAATTGGACAGGTATGTCATAAACTTACGAGATTTGTTGTATCTTCTAATATCAACAATATTGATAGGTCGAATATATTCCCTATATAAGGGATATTTTAGACGGTTATTCTTTAGACAAATATTATTAAGACGAACATTCACAGATTCCCGTCCGGTCACTCCATTTTATCGTCAAGGTGACAGGCAGTAAATAATATTCTGCAATCTAGATTCGCTTCGTTTAAAATACCTTTCTTCTACTATATCCTATAATATTTATTATATTTATGGGAAAGTGCAAAAATTCTGAGAATCTACTATCGTGACTGTAAGACTATCAATATCAATTTAATTAACGTTAACTTGTAATAACTAAAATAAATATAATATAATATAATATAATATAATGCAAATCAGTCGTAAATGTATGGTGTCATTGTCCAGGATCTAATTTTACTTATCGCATTAATTTCAGGCCATAAGATCACTTAGGAATCAATAGCAAATCACAGCGTCCCTCTTAGTCTTATCACTAAGTTTTGATTTTGTTAAAACTACAGAAAGTTTCCCCTCAAATGATAATATTAGATTTGTTACATAACTATAACTATAACCCGATCAATGGTAAACGTTTATCTGAATGTCCATTTCTTTATTATAAATATGTCCGAGATCTTCTGATCCAGATCCTTCGAAAATGTATCCAGCAATAAAGTAGCTCTTGATCGTTTTGTCAACATAATCATTAACTGTCGTTGCAACTGTCCATGTCAGAGCATATGGCTAAATACCATTATCAGTGATATGACTAGACCAAACTTGTCAAAATGACATGATTTCGGCGCAGGGTAATTTTATTGCCGACCAAGCCGGAAATTAACAAATCTTTAGTAAAGTTTTAGTAAATATCATGCTAGACGTTATAAAATGAACTATTATTTACAGTGAACTGCTAGAAGAACTGCTGAACTTGGAGACAAGAGGTACTTGTCGTCTGTTCGATGGAGGCAAAGAATACAAAGTCCACTCAGTCGTTCAGGTAACTAGAGAAGCTTCAAAACACCCAATGACTCAAAGTTTCAAGAAATACTAAAATTGTCCAGAAATTCATGGTTGAAAACCTTCTGAAACCCCATTTAATCTTAATTGATCAATGAATAAATTAATCAATTAATCAATTATAACGCACTAACATTAGGTTGAGTGCCACATATGCCAGTGTATGACCAGTGGTAAATTCCACTGTTCGCATGAGCGATGTTAGGTAATTTGGTGTGTCATTTTCAAGTGTTGTTGTCTTGTTATAGCCGCATGGATTGCTTTTTGGGATGGTGTGTGATGAATTTGGTTTTACTCTTTGGTGCTTTTTCTTTTTTGATGTTATTAATCAAAAGTAACAGGTGTATCTTCAGATGCATAAATAATAAAGCGCGTGCACATCTTTACTTTTTACTACACCGTAAAGTTTACAAACATATGTCGCTATTTCAAAATTTTCTCATTTAGGTAGCAGCAAATAGGTTGTGTCAATGCCGGAGCAACGGGAAATTCAAGTGTAGCGATGTCGGAGAGTGAACCAGGCTCCTTACTTCTGAAAGAAAACCAATACCATTCTCTAAAAACATATGAGATCAGCTGACTCTCCCAATGAACGTTACCTGATTTGGCATTTGACTAAATTATTGTTTTAATCTTACAATTTTAGCTTATCTCGGTTTGCAGTGAATTATTTATACTGTATCTTATTCTTTATATTTTTATCTGATCTATATTTGTACTATTTATTCTGTGATAACAACGAAAAGAAATAATTGATAAGATCTGAAAATAATGATTAGATGTAATATTTACAGCACACCTGATAGATACAAAATATACAAAAAAGGCAAGTGTCTGACTCATGCACATGAATCACCTAAACTTCTCAATAAACTTCCTTCGTGGATAAAATAAAATACTGATAAATGGTGTATGTCGTTAATGTCAAGAAAATTATAAAAAGAAGGTCGCATCATATGTCTTAAATTCTTAAAACACTGCTCAGGTTCAAGGGAGTCACAACTAACATATTTAATATTTATAGTTCTCCTTCTGTGAACAAATACCAAATATCTCGTTACCAAAATAACCACCCTCAAAAATAAATACAATTACAAAAATCAATAACCTACTTATCCAATGCATAGTACATCATTAATTATATTACATAATTATCACTCCACAGTCCCCTGAAAGTCAATGATGATTTCTTCGTCGGGGTGCCTCAGTTTTAAGTCGCTCAACTGTTTCTTGTAGAGGACTATTTTTCTAACCATCACCTCGTTGTCCGATTTTATCTCCTCCAACTTTTCAAAGAAGACTGGGTCCAGCCCAGGGGCTGTGCTCTTCGTTAGATTTTGCAGCTGCTCCGTCAGTTTCTCGTTCTGTCTTTTCAGCCTCACCGCCTCTTTGGCGATTTCTTTTGCACCATTAGGCATCTTACATTCGTGCAGCAACCTTATTTCCTGAAGTAAAATATGGTTAATGGTTATATCGATCTGCAAAATTTAAGTGAATTATATGACATTCCAACTAGCAAAATCAAGTTGTTTGCCAAACAAAAACTCAAACAACAAATTACAGCTAAGAGTAAAACTCTCCAAAAAAATGGCATCTTACTTCTTCAAGATCTCCTTCTCTCTCAGCCACCCCTGTCAGTCGTCTTCTGATCTCAGAAAGGAGTGTGTTCTTCCGTCTATTGTCCTCCTCCAGTTTAGCCAGATTCTCTCGGAGTTGTGTTACAACTGCTTGCTCTTCAGACAGCTGAAATAATGTGATTAATATTTAGATTACAGGCTTTCAAATTTAGTAAGATCGTGATTAAGATTCACGATGATGCAATTCCGCAACTGTAATTTATGATGATGGATTTTTTATTTCATGGTGAAGTTTAAGTAGGGACAGCTAAATTTGCTGACTGTCTAACCTTATGTTCAAGATGAACCGTATCATCACTGTGTTTCTTTTCCAACGCTGCATCTCTAATCTGACCCTCAATCTGCTTGTTCAAATCTCTCAGGGAATCCCTCAATTCACGAACTTCTTTTTTAAGAACCAACTTCTCGTCAGTACACGAGTCTAGTTCGTCTTGTATAGCTTTTACTTTTTCTTTGGACTGTTTGAGATTTTTAACTAATTCCTCCAATTCGTCGTTAGGTTTCGCTTGAAGTTCAGATTGGTTCTGAAACAGGTTTAGTTAAGTCTTCAGTTGCAAATGAAGGGACCAAAGTGGGACCCTACACCGGAAAAAAATTCAGGTGGCGGACCAAATCCCTTACGGCGTAACCGTAACCGTAACCTTACGGCGTAACCGTAACCGTAACCGTAACCGTAACCGTAACCGTAACCGTAACCGTAACCGTAACCGTAACCGTAACCGTAACCGTAACCGTAACCGTAACCGTAACCGTAACCGTAACCGTAACCGTAACCGTAACCGTAACCGTAACCGTAACCGTAACCGTAACCGTAACCGTAACCGTAACCGTAACCGTAACCGTAACCGTAACCGTAACCGTAACCGTAACCCTACTGTAAGTTATTTAGCGGTGGGTATTTGATCATTGGGGAATGTTGCACACACAAACCTGTTTATGCAACAAATCCATCTGACTTTTAATCTGAGCATTCTCTTTCTGTAATTTCTCGATAACTCGCTTCATTGCGTTTATTACACGTTCCAACTCAACGACAGACTTCCCCGCTACTGGTCGCGCAGGTGCACTTCGGCCTGAGAAAGTCTAGAGTTAAACCACTCGGAAGTTGGAAAAGTTTGGCTTTTTATAGCATTTACTTTCGTAAATTGATGGAGTTTATGTTCATTCAATTTTGTAAAATGGACTGTCAATTAAGCCTTAAGAGGGCATAAATTTCGGTTTCAGAATGTCATACGAATACTTATGTCTGACAAGTCAGGATAAATAGATCTATTTCTGGTGACAGGCTAATCTGTCAAATATTCTCCCGACATCGGTTTTATATTAACATTAAACAGTTGTTTGACGGTTAAATCCAGACTAATATTATAATATCCCACAACTTGATAAAGTTACAACCTTAATGAACAAAGCAACATATAATATTGACCATATTATAAATACAGTCAAATAGCATCAAGTAATATGAGTTTCTTAATTAAAGCTACGAATCAACTAATTCTATTGCCTTGACAAAATATTGGAAATTCGATGGGAAACTTTCAATCGGATCCTGAAATCCAAAAAATGTGAAACAACGATTGTGGTATTATAAGTTACTTGTTGTTGTGCGCATTGACCACATATAAAATAGCATATCAATAAGTTAACTATTAACTAAGTGTATTCACGAAAACCTCTCCGGATCTCCAAGTGTTTGATCGCTGCTGTAAGCTAAACAATAGACTAAACGGACAAGTTTGCATCAACAGTGATCTAGTTAAATAACTGACTCATTGGGTGGTTAATGAATTACCAGTTGAGGCAGGTTTCAGAACGTCAGTGTAAGCCTGGAGTTCGTTAACACGAGTTCTAAGTCTGGGCAGCTCCAGATGGGCGTGCTCAGCCTTCAGCTTAGCTGACAGGAGATCGTGCTCTAGTTCTATTATTTTCTTCTCTTGCTCAGTCCTTAGCTGCAAAATCATATGTATAATCAGATGATAAGTTTGAAATAACAAGGCTTCCTCTCAAGGAAGCGTACTGCGTATGAATTTTATATTAAAAGCAACTCAACCCAAATAGGTTTTATATGATAAACATCTCAATGTATATGTTCTGATTTATTCAAAAGAAGCAGACTCACCTCTTGAAGTGGGATTAGTTTAGAATCACTGTCTCCGACAGACTCCTGAATTTGTCTTTCCAGACCTGATATAGTGTGTCTCAACACTACTATCGTGCTATCTCGCTCCTCCATCGGGTTTTTCATGTCACGTGTCATGTCGTGTTTAATTGTCGCGTTTTCCTCTTCCAAATCAAAAATTCTTCTTTTCAGTTCCTAACGTGAGAAGGTTAATATCACCACAGAACTTCAATCATTATATTATGTACATAAAGTTTTGAAATAGGGACAATTAAGGTTTGAAATAGGCACAAGTTTTGAAATAGGCACAATTAAGGTGCTTGAAGTTTGATTACGACCGGAGAAAGCATCCTAGAGAAAACGTTACAAAATGGAAAAATCATATTCTCCCATTTTTGTCCCATGTTCAAACCTGAGTATAAATTTGCGTGTCTGTATATCCTTTGGGATCCTTATTGTTAGCTTTTGAGTATAACTTAAGAGAATTCTTTAGTTTGTTATTAAGAAGCAACTTTTCCCTGTCTAGTCTTTCTATCGTCTCTCTCATTCCAGTGTTTTGCTTTGACAATGTTTCTATTTCTTTGTCTTTCTTTTCCAGCGTTTTCTTCTGATTCTCGATCTGAAATCACACGAGATCATTTACAATTTACATGATCCGAAAAAAACAGGTTTTGTAAGGGAAGAGGTGAACAAGATTTCTAGTCCGTCATTTTAAGGCCACATTTTGCACCTTAAACTATCAAAGTCACTGTTAATATCATCTAACCTTTTTATTCCATTTCTTGTTGTCAAGCCAAGCATCGATCACCGCACTCGGAGGTTTGGAAGAGTCTTTCTTAGCCGCTTCCAGTTCTCTCTCCAATTCCTTTATTCTAGTCTGTGTATCTTTGGGTTGTAATAACGCTGGTGGCCTGGTGTCTTGACTTGATTTCATTTTGTTAAACTTCTCTCGCTGTATTGTCAGCTGCTTCTTTAAAGTCTCTATCTCCGCTGTTTGCTTCGGGTTCTGTTTTGTAGCAAGCTGCGTTGCAAGCATCGTCTTCTGGAAATTAATATTTTCAATAAACAATAAACTGTTAACAAATTGATCATAATAATAAGAACACTCAAGAGTCACAGGAATTTTAGAATTCAACTCAACGTACCTCTTTCAAGATTTCATCCCGATCCTTCTGAAGTTTAGCAACCTTTGATCTCAAATTTTCAACATCCCGTTCTTTCTTCACTGCGTCTCCTTCATTTGCCCCGGCAGGGACCACATTTTCCCTCATTCTCTCCTCAATCAAACTGGTCATCTCCTGTCGCAATAGGACCAACGCTTCTTTCAACTTGGCAATTTCTGCGTCTTTTTCTGCGAGTTTAGATGTTTCTGATTTACCTCTTGGAGACTTTGCCTTTCTCAGGTTTTTATTTGCATCTGCAAGATCTTTGTTGTCACCGAGAAGAGTAGCATTTTGCTTGTTTAATTCGGCAATCTCGTTGTTTTGCTTTTTGAACTTTCTGTCGGCTTCAGCTTTAATTTTCTCCTTCTCCTTTTCATACGTCTGCTGTACGGCTAATCTTTCTGTTTTTAGGTCACTGAAGTTAAATTATGTGAGTTAACTGTTAAGATAAACAAGTAAGAGAAGTAGCATCTTTAGTAATCAGAATTTAATTAGTATTAGGGTTACCAAGCCGGTATTAGGGCCTGTCTGTTACTACTATGTGGTTTTTGAGATGTTTATTTACATTAACATATAAATACTAAAATTATAGTTAATATTAAACTCAATACACATATACAGTATGAAATGGAACGAGATATGAGAATGCGCACATAAGATTGTGATGGAATTGGGGAAAGAGAGGGAGGGGTGTGAACTGTGAAGTGCAGTTTTTATAATGGCTTCACCTGCGAGGAAAACAAAATCGCTCTAAACCAATCACAAATTATAGTGAAAGTACCTCAAAAGGAAAGACGTCGGGAGAGAGATGGTGAATAGTTTGATTTTATATATCTAGATCTAAGTTTAATCTTCAAACACGTTGAATTTTCGCAATAATTTCGGGTTAAATATGTTCTCGTCAAAGGATCGACTGGGACCTCTTTTTGGCCGGGACCGGGACTGAACTATTATGCTCATGATCCGTGGAGCGATTTATAATTCAAAAGATTTAATTTGCCATAGAATATAACAGGGGGGGGCCAAAGTCAATTCCCATACGTTGGCCTTTATAGCTCAGTCACTGAGTGCCCAATTGAAATAATTATTTCTGGTATGACTTACTACTACCACTGGTTCGAGGAATTGGTCAAATCGAAAAATATTTGTGTTCATTTTTTTCAAATGAAGGTTCATTCTCGCAATTATTTGATAGTTTGGATAGTCAGATCGAGCCAAATTTTATTGAATTGTGTTTGGCCATTTAAATTACGTTTGACCTGAAAAAAATGAGAGTTCTAGCTTCTCAGATGACCGAGATATGAAGCATAACGAGGTTATTCATAACGTGTGATAAGGTGATTGGGCTGGCACTATGGGAATCGTGCAGAGAGCCCCCAATTACGGTGTCGTAGCATGAAATCACATGATTACCCAATCAATTTTTCTAACGAGATAAACAAATTGCTTGATAACTTCGTCATTTTGAATCCGTTTGGCGCCATCTTTTCGGCTGCACGACGGCCAGGCCCCCTCATATTAGGGGTCCCACGGAGATCAGATCATGTCACCAATTAGTGACGTATAATTAGTGATGTGATCCATCAGTAGAATTTAACTGACCTAGAAATGGGCCAGATACAGGGTAGAATTCACAAGTCAACTCTGTAGTCTGTATATCATAGCTTTATATTATAGTACTTTTGTTGATTAGAAAGAACAGATATCGTGGAGTTGGGTATGGCAAGTCCTTCGCCTCGTAGCGGGTATCTTACCAACACTCAACCTGTCTTAACTTTACCGCTCTCGGTATAATTTATAAGAACGATGGCTCACTGATGGATATTGTCAACAGTAATTATAATGACAAATTGATTAAGGTTCGGTCTTGGATAAACCGATGGAACAAGAGGGATTTGACGCGCATGGGTAAATGCACAGTCATTAAAACTCTTCTCTTTTCCCTAACATATCTTGTTTATCCTCTCCCTCGACCGGATGCTTCCTTTATCAGAATTTTTGACACGATTATTTTCCATTTTCTTTGGGGCTGCAGACGCGATAAAGTAAAACGTGAGATTATTACCCGAAATAAAGAACATGGAGGCCTGGGAATTTTCAGATCAAATTCCGGATTTAATTACTTATTGCAATATGTTACAATGAATTTTGTAGCATGTTCGCAAACACGAGTATAAGCAATACAATGTTGATTGGGTGTGGCCCCCTTAAAACCGAATTTTTTAATTTTGGCGACGGAATCCTCGAACAGTATCGTACAGCATGCCATCTGCAAAGCAAAAACTCTCAAATATAAAACATGGCTGTGGTATAAGACCCAACATATGGGTACTGACTTTTGCCCCCCCCCCCCCCCCCCCCCCCTGTATATTGCGCTATTGCGCCTTTTAATTGAACATTCTCATGTACAGTAAAACATCTCTGTACCGGGCTTCGCGGTACAGTCTATAGTCTATTGTTCTTAAAGTTGACAATTGTTGGTATTTCAGGAATTTTTCATATCATTGTTTGTCCATTAGTTGACGTGAAGTACGTTTTCAGCACCTATTTTTGAGTAAGAATGCTGTCCCTAAATTCTTTAAGTCTTCTCCGATCTGAAGTAATTCAGCAAGGGCAAGAGGAAACAATAGCGGTTGCCAGTAAATCTACAGTTTGTTAATGTTCATGGTCCACGGTATGACGGTATATCGATTGAGCTTCTCGAACGAAGGGAGATCACAAAGCCATTAAATTTGTAACAAGTTTTGTTTGGGAGACTCTGCTTCACTGAATTTCTTGAGCGGAGGATTCCATAATTTCAAATTCGATCAACTGAAATCCATTGATCTGATCATCGATTACTCGTCACTAATAAAGCAGTGACCTATAATCTGTTTAGTAGCAAGATTAGAGGGGTTCTTGAAATGTTCGGTCATATGACCAAATACTTGAAGCACAAGCTGGAACCCCAGGAACCGCAATCCTTGGATTCCCCTGTTACGAGTGATCGTGCAACAGCCAAAAACGTTGTGGGGATAATAAGATGAGGCTACAGTCGGAATTCGGATACAGACGATATAAATATAATTCTTAAATACAATTTGAGAACAATGAACTATCTTGAAATCTTGAACTACAATCTCCAGTCCGACACCGGGATTCCAAATATAGGCTGATTTTGACCGGGACTAATACGGAATTACGTTAGTCTTAACAGTAATGGTGCCTTAGGATGACAGAGACTGAGTAGGTGGACCGAATAACTAATAGGGTTTGGAATGGGGCTAGGGAATGATTAGGATTACGGTTAAGTTTACAGTATCCTTCAAGTTCTCACCCAGCTAGGAAAATTCTACGAGAAAAAAGGTGGTAAGATTAAATATGATAGATTTGAGAAAAAAATGGCCAGAAGAAGATAGATTGAGTGTGGAGATTCAAGGAGACTTATTCATATTGAGGAAGGGAATGAGCGGTACAATGAATAAAGGATGTAACCAGTTAGTGGGAAATATCAATATATGAAACTGGTTGGTATCTCTGGATGTGGTTTCACAAACCTTATCTCTTGTCTGAGCTTGAAGATACTATCCCTCAACATAGCATTGGCCTTGTCTTGTTCCAAGATAAGTTCCTCAAGTTCTGCGCGCCTGTGTGGTGTTGGCATCGCCCCAACATCTTGTAGTGATTGTAGTTCTGTTGACAGATGCTGATACTTGGATAACCATTCTTGTTCCTGGATATTAACTTACTTTAATCAAAATAATAAGAAAAAGAACCTCCTTTACTTTATTTTATAGCAAAATTATCAAACCAATATTGAAGATGTTCAAATTTTACACACATCATTTTCAGTGAAGTTTTTACATAACATGTAAGGGGATAGGCGCCCGCGCGTTACATGACAATCTTTGTCAGCGCACGCGTTCGTTGTGAATTCGAACAATAAAAACACGCTTGCCAGAATCTTGTCAAAATGCTATCTGCATAACACAAATAGTTTGAAAATGACTTGTAGTCTGGTCATTTATGCACATCACATGCAGGATAAGTAAAAATACTGCATATTTTAGGGCACATGTTGCTTCATAAGTCGTGTATAATTTTGGTCATATTTTGAGCCGGTTATTTTGAGCCGACCCAAATGTCTCTACCATGCCCGAAGCTGAGATTACTATATAGAAATGTACACAAATGGGCTTGGCCAAAAGGTTGATTTTCCAAGTCTGAATTTTTATGCTCGGAATTTGTTTGGTTCTATAGTAAGACCTTGGAGAGGCCCCAAAAAATGTTCAGCCCTCTTCTATGAAATGCAGGTGAACATCTCATTTCGTGAGTTTGAATTGTTTGATCATGTAAATTGTACAGCATACTGGAAGTTCTCTCATAATATCTATCGTCTTTCATAAATATATCAAATATATGGGGCAAGGAATTCATAAAATAATTATGCTGTATTTTATTTATTCATTTATTTACTCAACTTAATCTTGTTACTAATTCGAGTAGACACGGGTTTGTTATAAGATCAAGCGGTTCTATTAATATTCATCTTCTTAAACACTGGATTCGATTCATAAAACAACGATTTCTGAGATTTCCACGGGTTCAAGATTAGCCGGAGTTGTTTAATTTTTGTGACACGTATTAGTACGTATTTCGTTTTCCTGGAAAAACTTGTATGCTTAAGAATTTTTGACAATATGTTTTTCATCTTGGTTTTCATCGTTTTCCTAGCTTTTCCCCTGTTTATTCAGAGGGTAGTAAAAGGGGGGGGCCGGGGGGGGGGGGGTTCACACTCTTAGATTCAGACAAACGATGGGGGAATACATACAACTGTTTGGTTTCTAATCGGGTCATTTATGCACAATGCACATTGCACATTGATCTGCATTTCGTTGTAGAGGGCCTCCCCAAATCTTCAAGGTCTTTTGAACCAACACAAATTCCGAGCCCAAAAATTAAGACTGGGAAAATTATCCTTTTGATTATATTACGCCCATCCGTGTTATATTCATGTATAGTATAACACATATTTATCTCAGCTTCTGAACATAGTAAACACTTTTGGGTAAACTATTCAGCTCCTAGATTTGTACAACAATAATTACGAAAGAGACTTACTTTAAAACTGTGTTCCTTTGAAAGTTTATTCAATTCACGCTCATGCTTTTCACGAGCTAACTTCGTTTCGGATCGCAAATCTCTCAGCATTTCTTGGTACTTCTTTATAGCGACATCTTTTTGCTCGATTCTGTCGTTTAAAACACTAATAGCTTGTTGAGCTGACGCCTGGGACTTCTGAAATTGTTGGCAAAATTACGGAAACTAAGAATTTTTAGACTTTCGAGTCATCGAGTGCCGAATCGTTCTAAATGTAGGAAATTCGAAAAACATAAAAGCCATCCTTATAGCAAGAAAATTTCTCTAACCTTGAAAGCTGAATAATCCTCTGGATTTGAGCCGTTTTTCATAGCAAGCTGTTCCTCAATCTTATCAATATCTTTGTTTAACTTCGATATCTTGCTGTGAGAATTACTTAAAGAGCCCTTCAGAAGATCTACTTCCTCTTTCTGCGATTTTATCTTCTCTTCTTTCTTAGCCAATTGCTTGTTCAAATATTCAATTTCGAGGCTAACTGAAAAATAAATTAAATTTAACCTATTATGTATAACAATTTAAATGCCAACTAAATTGAAAAACTAATGATCAAGATTCAGATTAAAACATAAAATAAATCTAACCTAATTTTGACGGCTTGGTCTCTTCTTTAGCCCCCAATTTATCCTTACACCTAGAACACAAAACATAGTTATCTCGCTGTTTCTCCTGTTTAGCAGTGCTAGAAACAGTAACAGTCGTTTGCTGAACGGTGGAAATGCTGGTGTCCAGAGCACGCTGCTCTGTCAATAGTTCGTAAACTCCAGCATTTTCGTCCTCTAACTCCCGAATCGTTTGTTCGTAATCTTTAACTAGTTTCTCTAGATATCTGGAATGATAAACTTTGTAGTTTAAAAATTGGTTTTATGATGCTCACTAAGATTCTAGATAACATTAGAAAACAGTATGGACCTTTTCCAATTTAACTTAGTATAATCAGAAACGCAATTATAACTAAGATAAATGATCAGAATCACTAACGTAAGCTGCTGTTTTAGCTGAGTAACTTCACGTTTCAATCTCATCTCGGAGAGCCTAACTTTGCTCACACTTGTAAGAGATTTACTTCCAGATGACTTCAGATGTTCCAGCTCAACTTCTCGCTCTCCTTTCTCTTTCTCGGCCTAAGAATTCTAAGTTTTAAGATTGATAATTAATTTAACTTAATTAGTAGGAGTCCCTCCTATTTTACCTCTTGTTAATAAATTAACTAAGGCGCATAAAAAATTTTCAACCCCATTTTAAAATAAGATAATTTCACACCATTAGAGTAAACATTGTTATATTTTAGTAATACTTGTGTAAAGTTGTAGTAGTCACATTGTAGAAGGAAATCGTAGTTCAAAGACAAACAAAGTCTTTTGACATTGCAGTGTAAACGATGTAGTTACTGTTTATTTATTTCTCAGTTATTTTAATTGAATTCGCAGATTTTAGTGCTGAATATCTAGCTTCGTTTTAAGGACTTGATAATAATATTATCTTGGAGCGTTGCGATTTCCAATGACAATCAACCGGCAAAGGTATAATTACATTCTCTCCCAGAGGCGCAAGCGAAGATTTTGGTATATCTTAGCTGATGCCCCATGTCAAATAGAAATATATATTTCCGACCTGTATGCAGCCCTTTTGTAGACAATGAGAGTACAGCTCATACTCCGACCCTGAAATTCGGACCCCAAAATCTTGCTGTGAGTCTACTTTACATTCAGCGGTGCAGCCACATTGTTCCAAACTTCTGCTAGACAGATGCGTAACAACATAGTTCGGTACCTTCCAGTTTTTTTTAATCAATACACTTACTTTGTTAACTTTGTAACTTAGAAACTGCTTTCCCAGTGCACCTATAAACACATTGGATTGCTACGGCCGATTATCCCCTAAAAGTGCAGTGATCCAAGAAAAGGGAGAGAGAGAGTAAGCAACAACAGTTCTATCGTTGAGAGCATTTGTAGCTCCTCCCTCAGGTCACTTAACGGCTAAACACAGCTTTCTGCCAACTTCAACTCATGTCATTTTCTAGTTTACCCCCGACACCTTTACCTCGTAGCAAGGTTAGTAGTTTCATTAAAACGCTTCTTCATCAGTTTATTTAATAGCGAATCATATCGGACAGAAAATCGTCATACGTTATGACTCAATCTTCAATGATTGAAAGTTTATTATTGGCTTGACGAGGGTCAGAAGGACAAAATAACTGATTAATTGCAGTCTTATCACGTGACAAGATACTGGCCTGCTACTGGCTGGTCAGTCCTCACCCTACCACGTTCTCTAATATAATGATTAGCTTCCTCGCTTGAGAATGAGTCACTGACTTGACTTGTGGTTAACCCATGATTTGCGTCGATAAACTGTGAATAAAGAGTTCTTAATTTGACCATATTTGACGTTTATATTTGGGGAGATTAAAGTGGTTGCTTCAGTGGCTCTAAATCGTTGGATTTAGTGCGGAGGGTTTTGCATGCTACATTATAAGCGAGTAAAGCCACACAGATACCAGGTCCATGTAATACTCGTACACACTTTATCAGTTCCCTGTTTATCGTTGATTATGATATATAATGGTAGTAAATTTGTAACAGTGCTCTGTTTGTCTGAGTGGTAGTATTGTAACAGTACTCTATTTGTCTGAGTGGTAGTATTGTAACAGTGCTCTGTTTGTCTGAGTGGTAGTATTGTGACAGTGCTCTGTTTGTCTGAGTGGTAGTATTGTAACAGTGCTCTGTTTGTCTGAGTGGTAGTATTGTAACAGTGCTCTGTTTGTCTGAGTGGTAGTATTGTAACAGTGCTCTGTTTGTCTGAGTGGTAGTATTGTAACAGTGCTCTGTTTGTCTGAGTGGTAGTATTGTAACAGTGCTCTGTTTGTCTGAGTGGTAGTATTGTAACAGTGCTCTGTTTGTCTGAGTGGTAGTATTGTAACAGTGCTCTGTTTGTCTGAGTGGTAGTATTGTAACAGTGCTCTGTTTGTCTGAGTGGTAGTATTGTAACAGTGCTCTGTTTGTCTGAGTGGTAGTATTGTAACAGTGCTCTGTTTGTCTGAGTGGTAGTATTGTAACAGTGCTCTGTTTGTCTGAGTGGTAGTATTGTAACAGTGCTCTGTTTGTCTGAGTGGTAGTATTGTAACAGTGCTCTGTTTGTCTGAGTGGTAGTATTGTAACAGTGCTCTGTTTGTCTGAGTGGTAGTATTGTAACAGTGCTCTGTTTGTCTGAGTGGTAGTATTGTAACAGTGCTCTGTTTGTCTGAGTGGTAGTATTGTAACAGTGCTCTGTTTGTCTGAGTGGTAGTATTGTAACAGTGCTCTGTTTGTCTGAGTGGTAGTATTGTAACAGTGCTCTGTTTGTCTGATTTGTACCATGTTTCAGGATCAGCAGCGCCGCTACCAAACTCCTCGACTTAACTCGTACCGCCTCACACCACCCCCAACACCTACCATCCTGCCGCCTACTCAGCAACCAGACGTCTTCCTCGCCAGACAGATTCCTAAAACACCTTACAATAAATTGGTTTACAACATTACCAACCCTTATCACAGCAACCCCTTCTGGGGATTAGCACAGAAAGAGATGGATCAGCAGTGCACCGCCTCCCTTAGCAAGGTGCAGCGTATCAGAACCTCTAAGGACGGCTCTGTGATTGCGATATCGTGCGACGGCAGCATGGCTTTCTCGTACCTGTCACGCGTGTCGCACAAGTCGTACTGGATGCGAGAACTGCGTCTCAAGTCGGAGTCTCAACTCAGACATTGCATTCAGAGAATCAAACAGCAGATTGGAGCTATAATCTGTTATCTCATCTTCGCTGGACTTCTCAGACTCTACACTCAAACTCACTTATCTTAGACGTTGTTAATTCAGAGTAATTGCTTTTATTTTTGCTGAGCTGAACTATTTGTAAAGTACAAAATATGTGTCTTCATTTGTTTGAAAAACACAGTTAAATTCAGAACGCTAATACGTATCAGGTGTTTTTCATGATGATTATCAATAATTGATTATTCAACTTGTCATTATGGGATTGTAGTTGTTGCGCTGGTTTTTCTGACCGATTTGTTTTCTGTCTTCGTGATTATATTCGTTACAATACTTTGTCACTATTAAAGCGTTTTAATTTTCTTATCTTGGTACTAAGAACATCCATTGTAAATAAGTAAAGTTGTTGAAAATTTAACGATGAAAATGTATTATGGAAACTTAAGAATCTGATATAAATTTACCAAAAATGTGGCAATAAAAACCTGCACAAGTTTTGAGCTGAGATCCTGTTTCTCGAGAATAAGAGCCCTTACTGCCTCCCCTAGTCTCTGTTGTCTCTGCAGCGGCACTGCACCCGAGTACTGCCCCCGGAGATAGCAGATCGTGCGCGAGAGAAGTTGCACGTGCGACACAACCTTCTTGTGCTGTAAATCTTGCAGTTTAAGCTGATCTGCCAGCTTTGTCTCCAGCACTAACAACTTGCTTTGATTCTGGAGAAGTAGGTGATAGAAATCATAATTAAAACTTCTTCGAAGCCTATTACAGTGCCATCTCTTTTTACATCAATTAGTAGTTTTATACTATTTTTTCAATCGTTGCGAAACACTTCAAATTAAAGAAATAAAAGATATAAACCTGAGACAGTTTCAGTTTGAATTCCTCCGCCAGTTTATTGGACTCAATGTCTCGATTCTGTACCTCAACCAACCTCTGAGTTAACAATCCTGAAAAATTACGATAGATAACTTGTGAGTTAAAGACAAATTAATTCATTTTAACAAGAAACCGTTTAAAACAGATTAAAGCAGCAAAATATAATCCAGCATTAACTAACCTATCGTCAGTTTATCATTTGTTTGCTTCTCCATTTCCCCCAAAGCTAACTTATACTGTTCAATTTCCTTCTGTTTCTGATCTTTTCTTGCGAGAAGTGTCCGAGTTTGATCCGCACTGATGTCAGCAGACGTCTGTACTCGTTTTACCTCCGCTTGTAAAGCCACTACTTGCTTCTCTAGAATCTGGTGACGTTGGTTATTAGCCTCACCACAATACTTAGAGCACTTCACCCATAACATTCAGAGGGTTATTTAAGTACTGTAAGGTATACTTTAGCCCGGCGAGGCACATAACTCCCTCTACAACTCCATGTTTGGGTCGAAACTGTTTGACTGTAAAAGAGGTAATAATATAAGTTATAACTGACCTGTGTCCTAGAATCTTTGCCTCCGTATTTAGTGACAGCCTCAAGGTCCTGAGACAGACTTTTTTCCCGCTCTTGCAGAGAATTGTTACGCTGAACTAGATCTGTGAACTTCTCCTCGACTGTACTGTTTCTCTCTTCTAACTCATGTGTAACAGATAATAACTGAAATACCTCAATTTTATTGCTGATTCGTGATTGATTATTTTAAAAATAAGTAAAAATAGGTTTACCTTGATTAGCAAGCGACCGAAATTTCGGTTTGGTTCGATTTCGGCTGCTTGAGACCGGTTTGGGTTCGGCCTTTTAAAAAAATTTTAATTCATCCACAAGTTCGGTGGAATATTCTTGGTTCGGTCGTTTCCTAATCTTGATAGCGATAAAAACGTGTGTTTCTTGGCCCTTGGGAATTGGCCCAAGAAATTGTACTAATCAAAGAAAATTCTAGTAGCTGCTTTTTTGGGTCTTTGATCCTACACACCTTAGAATGTTTGTTAATGGCGTGGTTAGCTTTCTGTTTCTCATTTATAAGCTGCATTTCCAGGTTGTAGATCTTATCCTCAAAGTTAGCCGTCTCCCCATCTCTAGTAGGCTCGTTTACTGCAGCTAATCTTTCCTCAAACCTCTCACAACTGAAAAGCACCATTCATCATGCTTTTAAGTTTTATTATCAAGATATAATGTACTATAATCTATAGTTTACATTAAATGGCTTCAGCAAGGGTGTTAAATCAGTATATCAAGTTACGCAATCGTCATAAAAGATATGTAATTTATTATCTTGCGTCCAGTAGTAGTCCCCGACAAAACGTGACATTTTGGATGAAATGCTTTCAGAACTTAATCTTATCAACGTGACAGAATGCGGGTGATAGCAATGTAATGATCAGCAATGATCAGAGATATGTTAATAAAACATTCGCCGAGTAATTACTCGGCGAGTAATAGTTGATTCAACTCGGGAAAGCACATGTACCATCATTTGTACTGTTCGTGACCATGAAAATACAATATTAGGCTTGACCAAATACGTCACTGTGCCTGGTATAATATCCTAAAGTATTGGCAATTTAAGCGAGCCCATATATAATACGTTGTAGAAGTTGTGATGGAATTTGTGGTAAAGAGAGCGTTATTTTAGTGATTTATTTAGTAGCGATTTAGCGTTATTTTAGTGACTCAAAAATCATTCTCATTTAGTAATGAGCATGATTTTTGAGTTAAAATTGTGACTTATAATTATTGCACCTAATTAATTATAATTATTGCACCTAGAATCTTAATTAATTTCAGGAAACTTTGGTTCACAAACCGTTGGGTTTGAACGGCAAGTTTCTTCCGAGCATCCTCCAATTCAGTCTGTGTCTTCGTCAGTTCTTCCCGTAGCTCGTGTACTTTTTGTGTCGATTGCTGGACAAGAGATTCCTCCTCAAGAAGTTTTCTGTACTTGTTTGTAATGTTGGTGTACGAGTCGAAAATCTTTCTACATCTTTCTGAAGGAATGTGGGAATTTGTTTTACGATCTGAGTTTTAGAGTCTCAAAACTGATTTACAACAAAATACGGTGAATTTCGAAAGTATTTATCAGAATTTATCACTGTTAAACCAATCCTCCAACTGAAACTAAAATACTGCAGAGTAGTACAGTGTAGTAGTGTAGTATTGTAGTAGTACAATGTAGTAATGACCTGGGGTACACAGTTGATGAGCTGATCTCGGAGTTGCTGGATGTGATAGGACGCTGAATCCTTGAACTGTTCTAACCAAGCTAATCTCTGTCTTGTCTCCTTCACTCTATAATCATCCAGGATCTTTAATCGTTTTATTTCTCGCTCATTTGCTTCTTCACGTTCGTAGAGAGATTTCAGTTCCCGGCGCATCGTGCGCTCGTGAACTTTCAGGAGAACCATTTTGCGAGATGCCTCAGAAGTAGACTTTTTCTGCTCATTCCCACTTTGTTGCAGAACTTTTTGCAACCTTTCCAATTCTTCTTTGTAAGCCTGAAATATAATAACATCAAATTATCTGGGGTGTTTAAAGTTTATGACGACGATAAGACAACGAACCAATTGTCAATCGAGACAAAATTGCACCGTCTAGATTGACAAGGCATGTATCAAACCTGGAGATCAGACCCAGAATTGATGTTTTGTTCAGCTGTGGCATTGCTTTTCAGATCTGTTTTGAGCTTGTAGTGATCCTCGTACAACATTCCCTGTTGTGCTGTGAGTCGAGACAGTTGGTCCTGGGAGAAATGAATTTTAGGAATCAGAACATTCTTATTATAGTTTGAACTCTCATAGACAGCAGCAACTTATGAATAAGATGTGTTAATACCTGAGGTCAAGAAACCGTTGACCAAAACAGAGAGAGAGAGAATAAGATGTGTTATGATACAACTTCAGTTCTGCTGTTCACAAAGAACGTATTAACCCGTATTAATACCTGAGTATGAAGTAGCTGTCTCTCCATCTCCTTACACAATTCTTCTTTTTCCTCCACTTCTTGAAGCGCTATTATCAGCTGATGCGCCAGGGGCTGCGAGCTTTGGATTACTGGACCTGGGAAAACTTGAGCACTGCTTGGAGCGAATCTGGCGAGATCTGCCACGGCACCGGCTCGCTCGCGTTCACATCGCCGCATTTCTTCCTTAGTTCGAGCTAGTTCCGTACGTAGTTCCAAATTTCTTCCATTCAATTGTGCCACCTAAATATTTTGCTGTTTAAAAGCCTTTACAATCATTGATCAATTGATAGAGATATTAGTCTTATACAAATGTTGGATTATAACTGAAAAGGAAGTGAAATCTGGTGGATCCAGCACAACTGTACCCCACCTGAGCCTTCAGATGCTGAGTAAGATCAGGATAAGATTGATTAAGTCTGTCCTCCAGCAGTGTCAACAATCTGTATATTTCCGGCTGATCCTCCAACTTTCCACCGCCTTTCCCTCTGAGTGCTTCTTTTAGTGCTGCTTCAAACCTTTCCCTCTCCTTCTCCACTTTGGTATGTTTTGCAGTTATCTCAGCGTTTTTCTGGGTCAGATTATCGACGGTTTTATTAAGATTGCTATTCTGCATCTTCAGTTCTTTGACTTCTATCTTGAGTTCGACAGCCGTGTTTCTTTCTTCACTCTTTAGTTCTTGGAACTTGGCGATCATTTGTTCCTAAAAATACGACAGTAAGATTGATCATATCTTTTTGCTTGAAATCTTGCAATATATGGAAATTCATGGATTGTACGGTATTGGTAAGTTTCCTTGCCTGAATCATTGAAGATTCGTTAGCAGAAAGTCCTGCTTCAGCGGCCGCTTCCTCTATTGCTTCCAAATCTTCTGTCTTCAAACCCAACTCGACAGCTCTGTGATACAATTATCTTGAGTTGTGTCAAACACTAGATTCTAATTTTAGAGCATAGAGATTTTGTGTATAATGATAACTATCAGAAACCTCCCTGCTTATCATTACCTAACACCACGATGCATAGCTTGTTTTCGGAAGACCTTCTTCATCTCAATTCGTTCTCGCTCCAAACGTTCCACTTCAGCTGACAGCAGTCTGTTGATAGCACGCAACTGTTCCTGCTCTGCAGCCTTCGTAAACTTCAGCTCTGAGAACAGAAAAATGTTTTTATTACCATAACTCATAAGCTTCTGGTAATTTCAATAATTTGAGTGATGGCAAATTTTAACAGTGATGAAATGTGTTTTGAAACAAACCTGACAAATCGATATTTTCACTGGGATCCAGACCGAGCCTGCGTCTCATTTCTTCGTTTTCATCCAGAGCTTGACAAAGGTTCATTTCCAGCTTGTTCATTTGTTTTGTTGTTTCAGTTATTTCTCCGTCTCGTATTCCCATCTGTTTTTTTAGATCCTTGATTTCCTGAAATTACCACCATTGTCACTACTTACTTGTACTTGTTCGAAATATGAACATATCATTATGTACTAATTTATTGTTTCGAAATTACAATTCTGATCAATTTACTCTGAAAACTGTAAACTGTACATCCTAGTGTTGATAATGCACAAGTATTCTGTATCATGATAGGCTGTTTCATATCGAATAACACAAGCAATAATAAACAAACCTGCACTGCCTCCCTCAGTCCGTAAGTTCCGTTCTCGTACTGTCCTATCCTGGTTAGAGCCTCTGCTAGCTGCTTATCTCTCTCAGCTGAGTCTGCTTCAAGCTTCCTCAGCCGCTCTCGCTCTGCTTTTGCTGAATTCTTGTAATCGTGGAGCAGTTTCTCTAGGTGATTTGTCTCCTGGACCACCTCGGTAGCTTGCAGCTCTTCTGCAAACTCCCCCATCAGCTGCATTTGTTTGTATCCTTCATCCAGCTCTTTCTTTAACTCCTTAACAACATATTTTAGGTAAAAATGTCGAGAGGATAAGATGAGATTCAGTGTGAGATATAATAACATTGAAAACATGATCTACAGTAATGATCTGATCAAATTCTACTGATGAACTCTGACGAAACAAAGATCAGCATCATATTTTTACTGACACAAAATGAGAATAATAGCCTGGCTTGCGAAATGATGCCATTAATAATCAATCAGAACTCAGAATGTTGTTAATCCTAATCTTACCTCGATCTGTTTGTCTTTATCAGCGACAGCTTGAGCAAGCTCGGCCATAACTTTCTTATCACCATCCAGCTTGGTTGCATCCAGCTGCTGGGCCATAATGTGGTTTCTCTTCCGCTCGTCCACAAGCTTTTCTTCCGTTTCAGACAACAATTTTTTCCATTTGTCCACTTCAGAGTTGACATGAGTCATGACATTGTTATCAAGAGACCCCTGTTCCATCAGCAGTTCTTGTAGATCCTGTACCTGGAGTTTAAGACCATTATTCTCTTCTTCGAGCCTTGCGTTTGCTTTGTCTGTTTCGTTTATCACTGTCTTCATTGAAGCATACTCGTCGGTGAGCTTCACTAACTCGGCAGTTGCTGTGCTCAACTTCTGGGTCACCTCCTCCACTTCATCTGAAACGATAAAACAATTAGATTTTATTGATCGAGCTCAATTTTCAGCTTTTAGTATACTTGAAAAGGATTTTAACCATTCTTTTACTCGACTAACAAGAACAATAGAATACAATCTACGATCTAACCTTTCATGAATTCATTAGCCTCAGTAAGTTCGTGGATCTCGCTCATGAACCGAGTCTGTTCTTGACTCTGGAGCCGCTTCATCATCCTTCCCTCGTCACCATCACGTTTTATCATCAGAGCTTCTCTTTGAGCTTCCATCTGAGATAATTTGTCATTGAAATCAAGTGATATTCAGACTGGCTAACAAGAATATATAATATATAAATCAGCAGAAAAGTTTAAAGAAACACAGGTGCGAAATCGTTAAAAACCTGGTTTCTGAGATCAAGAATGTCTTTCTTTAGTTGATCATTATCGCTCTCAAGACGACGGTTCACCGCTTTACATTCCATGTAATCGTTTGTGATCTTCTCAACATTTTCCCTGAATGATATGATCTTAATTAATTAAGAAGTGGGAGGGTAGTTCATTTACGACTTTCATTTTTCATGAAGATAGAATGAAGAAGATTATGGCAATGCCAATTCATACCGTGACGATCCAAATTCTTTGCCCAAATCCTTAACTTCTTTTTTAAGTCTTTCATTTTCAGCCTCCATTGTCCTGAGCTCGTCTCGCAGATAGCGGGCATCTCGACCTAGAAATAATATTAAAATAGTTATTGTTCTGAATTGAACGGAACACAAATGGATAGAAAACTAACAATTTAATTAATAAATGTTGGTTACGATCAGGATATCATGGAACTAATAAAATGTGCGCCTAAGACTTATTCAATGTACAATGGTCAGGCTTTTGATTTGGGAAGATTACAAATCACGATCCACTGCCAAGTAAAAATAAACAGATTGTATAACTTATCTAACTCACCACTGTTGGATCAGTAAGCAATACCATAACATTCACTAATAACACAAATCATGTTGGTCAGATAATTTAAAGAGTAGATGAAAGATTTAGTTACCTGTTCCTCCATTCTGTAAATCACTGATCATTGCTTCTTTAGCCTTGAGCTCACTCTCGAGCTTCACAATCTTGGCTTCAGCATTATTTACTAGTTCTGTACCGTAACTCTCTACTTCTATTAAATCATTCGATTTCTGCTGAATCACCACCCTAAAGGTTCAAAATATTGATTTCTAAATATTACATGAACAAGTTTTAGCAAGCAACTTACCCTGACGAGAGAAAAACTTTCCAAGAAAGAAAAAAAACATGATCAAGTAAAAATAAAAACAATAACTGAAGTTTATAATACCCAGCAACATGGAGAAGGTGTTTGACTTTCGCTGAGTCAGCAAGATCTCCCTCATTGACATCACCCAACAAAATGTCACATATTTCCTGATGAAACTGATCATCCTCATCTGCTGCCTGGAGTTGGGCGTCTGTAAGACTGTTAACAAACTCCCAGTCTATTCCCATGGCATAGCCTTTCTGCTACATACTGTCATGGTACATGGTTAGATATTTATTGAATAGGTATCAGAAGTGTTTCCTGTAAGAACTTAACTACAGGTTGGGAAGTTATGCAAGTTTGTTTCGAATCCATACAAAGTTTTTATTTAGGAGTTGGCTCTAACTAAATAGATATGATATTACTTAGCTGCTAAAGATTCCGATAGATTATGATTTAAAACCTTCATGTGCAGAATATAAATGTTTTCACCTTATAATTATATAATATTTTAGTTTTAAAACTTGTTTATTAGTTATAACAGTAATAAGTCAATAGCAAGTTTAAATTTAAATATCAAATTTTGTTTTCAAACGGAAAATTGCCATAAACTAAATTGAAATTTCGTCCAGGATGATATACGAAATTGGTATCAAAATAAAAAGCATTAATATTAAAAGTGCTAAACATTAAACATGCTTATGAGCCGTTTCAAACATCAGAAGCTTTTTAACATAAGCATCACTTTCTGAAACCTCCTCTGATTTTCCAAGAGCTGATGCAATGTGTACAGCTAGCAAATGTTTGCAGAATGCATGAGACTTTTTCAATATGACACTGTTCTCAAAACTCAAGCAGTTACAGTAAAGTTCGTCCTTGAGACATGTGTAGACATTACTGTTGGAGCCAGTAACTTGGAAAACTGAACGCCCAGAGGGTGATGAGACTCTCGTGATACCTTTATTGTCTATAATCGCTAATGCAGATACACTTAAATCACCACAGATGTTGATAATGACCTTCAAGCTTAAGTCCGACAATTCCTTAGATTTCCAAATATTCTGAAATACTTCCTCCAAAGCAACTATAGCTTGGTGTTGAGTCATTGATTTGCACAGGGTTAGACCATCTAAAAGGAAAAATAGGGATTTATCCTAGATGCTAATACAACAAATTTAAAATACCAGTTTAAGATTGAAAATTAAAATGCAATAGGATACGTTGTTTTGTCATTGTTTTGTCACATGTACCAGATCTGCAGATTTTCCGTTGGCTGTACCTAAAAAGAGAATATTCAAAAAAGTTTCTAAACTTTAATCATTTTAATCCAAATTTTAAACATTTTAATCCAAGTTTTAAACTAATTACAACACTACAAATCTATTACATTTATTGAGTTCAGGGATGGCTAACAATGGCGGGCAAACGGGGCACATCGATAGTGACCCAGCCAGTACAGAAACTAACGAGAGAAAGGAGATATGCTTCTATTGTCAGAAGTATGATGAACCACTTGCGAGAAAGAAGATTGTTTGGCTAGGTTGTTCAACATGTGAGAATTGGTGGCATAGTAGTTGTGCCGGTTTGGCTGGTCTAACCGTTACAGATGTCAAGAAGCTGACAGTGTGGAACTGCCACTTTTGTTTCGTTTTGCCTGAGAAACTCAAATTTGAAAAACTTACTGATGACGTTGCTAAAGAACTGACAAGTGTTATACAGACTGCTGTCAGCGCCAGTGTGGAACAATCTATCCAGAAGGTTCTTGTAAATGATGTTGTTTCAGAAGCCAATAAGAAGATACACAAGAGTTGGGCTGAGATAGCCAGTGGGCAGCAGAAGAAATTGATAGCTGAAGTGTGTCAGCACGCAGCAGGCCCTGCAATAACCACCATCTCACAACAGATTGATGCTAACATGCAGGAAAGGAAAAAGCGGGAGAATAACATTGTTCTGTCAAACTTACCTGATGAAGATAAGGAAAATGAGAGTCAGGAACAACTAAAGGCTATCATCTGTCGACATGCAACAGATCTTAACCAGAGTGACATTGTATCAGCAAAGAGAATAGGTGTATTTGGCAACGTCAACCGTACAAAGTACAGGGGAAGAATGGTCATTGCGAAGCTAAAGAGTGAAGAGTTAGCTACTTACACACACAACCATGGACGCGGGTTTGCTTATCATGGAAAAAAGAAAAGTGATGATGTATGGATAAATCCTGACTTGATCAAGGCGGATCGAGATATCCGGTGGAACACACGCAATGCTAAACTGGAAACTGATAAGAGGACCAAAGTAACTGCTGACAAACCACCCAAAGAGGAACTGCCAACTGATGTGGCTTCTGTAACAAATGTAGAGCATGCGGATAATAAAGAAGATGTTGTCCAGAATGCTGTGAAGTCAAAAAACGAGTAGCGAGTTGCGTAAAGGAATCACAGGGTATCAGGATGCTGTACACTAATGCTAATTCCCTGTACAATAAGATGACGGAACTCATGGTTTTGTCAGAGACTCACGACGTTCAGATCATTTGTGTGACAGAGTCCTGGCTAAATTCAGATATTGTTGACGCTGAAGTGTCTATTCCTAATTTCAACCTCTTTCGTGCAGACAGACCTAATGATACACGTTTTGGGGGATCTGCTATCTTTGTCCACAAAGCACTGAGGGTAGAACGATTGGATTGGTTTACTGGTCTTGAATCACTTGCGGTAAATATTGTAATCGACTCTGTTAGGTTCAATGTTGTTTGTCTGTATCGGTCTACTTCACTTGTTGATACGAAGGACAATGCTGGCCTGTTAGGTGCTCTTGAACGTTTACCAGTTAATGCGGATGAAGAGTTGGTGATAGTTGGCGATGTGAACCTACCTCATGTTAACTGGGACAAAAGTTTAGTCGAGCGCCCACCAAACTCATGTGACAGAAGGTTGCTGATGGAATCAGAATTCTTGAATGTCTTTACCAGGAAAGGTTTGAAGTGGTATGTCACTGGGTCTTCGACACGTGTCAGGAAGGTTGGTGATACAACTCAATGCTCCTTGCTTGATCAGGTCTTCTGCAATAATGATTGTTTTGTAAATAATGTTGATATCCTTGCTCCTCTGGGTAAAAGCGATCATGTATCACTACTGGTCGAGCTGAAAGTCAAAAACAATGTCGAGTTCCTTACATCTAAGAAGAAAAGCTGGTATAAGGTGGATCAGGACTTTGTTAACACACAGTCATCAGACATCAGCTGGGGGTACTCTAGAGAAGATCTTCAGGTCGAAGAGATGTGGGAAGAATTACACCTAAAACTTAGTGTCATTTCAGATCGTGTTCCAACCACCCACCTTAAAACAACTAAAGGTGGGGAGATCTTACAGAGGTTACCCTGGGATTGCTCTAGTCTGGTTAGGAAAAGAAAGTGCAAGGACCGGGCATGGAAGGATTTTGACGAGGATCCTACGATGGTGATGTTTAACGCAGCCGAGTACGAGCAGCGGATGTACCAGAACGCTGAGATTAAGGCAAAGATCAAATATGAGAATAAAGTGACTAAATTGTTTAAGTTAAATTGTAAACCTCTTTTTAATTACCTTAAATCTAAAAGTGTTTTAAGAAAATCTGTAGAAAGACTTAAAATAGATGATGGTTCTGAGACCAAGTCTCCTTCTGAAACGGCAGAAGTGTTAGCTGATTTTTTCCAGTCAGTTTTTAAACCTGAACCTTTTGGCCCTCTGCCTCAAAATTGTTATACAGAATGTAATAATGATTACTTCTGGAGTAAATTTATGGTGCACCCTGAAAGTGTTGCCAAGATTTTGGGATCACTAGATATTAGTAAAGCTATGGGTCCTGATGGTGTTCATCCTAGACTCCTGAGGTATTTAAGTGAGAACAGTTCCTTTGTGGATGCGGTTGTGTTGCTGTTTAGTGCTTGTGCTTCTGAGCAGTATATTCCTGAGGTATGGAAAACTGCCACTGTTGTGGCCTTGCACAAAAGGGGGGGCAGTACATAGTCCTAATAATTACAGGCCTGTGTCACTGACTTGTATACTATGCAAAGCCTATGAGAAGCTTCTTAGGGAGTATATTCTCGATGGTGTTGAACAGGTGCTTAGTAGCACGCAGCACGGCTTCATGAAGGGTCGGTCATGCTTATCTAACCTACTGGAGTCTATTGACGCTGTCAATGACTTGCTGGCTGAAGGTGGCTGTGCTGATATATTATACTTTGATTTCTCTAAGGCCTTTGATAGCGTACCACACCACCGTTTATTAGTTAAATTAAGAAATGTTGGTGTTCCTGAGGAGATAATTGGTATTTTAGAAAACTTTTTAGTAGGGAGGTCTATGAAAGTTAAAGTAGGAGATGAATTTTCTGAGATTAAGTATATACTTTCAGGAGTGCCCCAAGGCAGTGTTTTGGGACCATTGCTCTTTCTTTTATTTGTAAATGATCTTCCAGAAGGAATCAAAGCTATCATCAAACTTTTTGCTGATGATGTTAAAATGATTGTTAATCCTTTTATTAATCTAACAGCTGATTTGAAGTTGCTTGAACTTTGGGAGTCTCGTTGGTGTTTAAATTTTAATGTAGATAAGTGTATGGTCATGCAAATTGGTTCTTGTAATCCTAAGAATCAGTACTTGTTTGGTGGTGTGCCTTTGAGATGTGTTGAAAGCGAGAAGGACCTTGGAGTTGTCTTTAACACCAGCTTCAACTTTGAGGGTCATGTGAGAAAGTGCATTGCTAAAGCTAATAGTACCATTGCCTGGCTTACAAGAAATATTATATCGAGGGAGAAAAGCGTTATGCTGGGCTTGTATAAGTCTTTAGTAAAGCCTCATATAGAGTATTGTTCACAGGCATGGGCTCCAATGGCTAGGCATGGAAACTGGTCACTGATTCTTGAATTGGAAGGTGTTCAAAGATCGTTCACCCGTATGATTGATGGATTGGGACTCATGACGTACAGAGAGAGACTGGATAAGCTGAACCTCACAACCCTGCTTGAACGCAGGGTTCGTGGAGATCTCATTGAGATGTTCAAGATCCAGGAAGGCTTTGTGGGTTATGGTTCCGATTTATTTGGTCGTTCTGGTAGGACCGTTGCTGCTAGATCAAAGACTCATAGATTCACCACAAATGAGACTGATTTCTTTGCCCAAAGGGTCTTGCGCTATTGGAACAGTCTACCACCACTTGTGAAAGCTAGTGAGTCAGTTACTGGTTTCAAGAGGGGATTAGATGCCTTTCGGCTTCATGGATATCGAGCTAATAAGCTTGGTCATCACTGGGAACTTTCATATGACATCTTTGATAGGATAGATGTGTCTGTGTCTAATAGGAATAGTTATGTAAGTTATATGAAAGATAATCCATTGGTAGCTAAGAGGAAGAAGGTTAATATCAAAGGTATTTAGTTAAATTTTTTTTAAAGTTTGTAATTATATGGTTTCAAACGTAAAGTGTTCATTTTCTATGAATTTCTTTTTGAGATGCCCAGAGAGGCATTATTTATAATGTTATGTTATGTTATGTTATGTTATGTTATGTCAAATGATTCTAGAACGATTGCAGGAAACCAATAAAACTTATGGCCTCGACAATCAAAAAAGTGTTCTGTATTCACAAAGTTGACTTAACTGACGCTCGATTTTGCATGAATCACCATTCGCACAGCGCTTAGCTAGTTCATAGTTACATGACAAGATTGTCTTACTATCAACTATATTATCCTATTATATTATGTCCTACTATATTATAAGTATATTTAATATTGATTTCCAAACATATTCAAGTTGACAACGATTTTTTAAATGCAAAAGATTGCAATAGAAATTAATTATGTCTATTTGTTTTGATATAAGGAAAAGTTTTGTTTTGGCTAATATTTTTGCCAATACAGCGCCGCGCTGATCGATCGAGTTTTTTGACATAAAAATACGTTGTACTTATTTTATATTATTATTTTAATTGTCTAATTTTATTGATTAATATTTAAAATGATTTCAATGTTGTTATTTAACATTATTAATTATCTAGCACGCCTTTTAATATTCAAATTTCTGATCTTGTTATTGCGTTAACTTTTTTGTTTTGCTCAGAATCGAGCAATACAAAAGAAGCTGTACTAGCAAGTCTAGTTAGATAAACAATCTATAAACTAATTATAACATTACACGTTTATTTGTTGTTTGTATCACGTGGTGACCCCGGCCACACTGTCGCTTCACTATATAGAGTTTCGACGATACAGGGGAGCCGCGCACTCGTGCGCGGCGGGTCATATACAACGTATGACAAACGTCATATACAACGTATGACAAACGTTTATTACATTAAATTATAGGAGCTGGGAGCTGGTAGCTGGAGGACGTTACATAAAGAATCAATTTAATAAAGAATATTTTCAATATAAATTTTTGTGTTCTAAATGCTATAAAATAGGAAATGAAGTTTTTTTTGTTTTATATGGTAATAAAAAGCGATTTAAAATGCACTGATTTAAAGAATTATTCGCAATTTGTCATCTGAATACAATAAATCTTATATAAATATGAATGAATAATTTTGTTCAATAAATGATAATTCCAACGGCTACTATACGCTATACATATATACTATTTTAAACTAATTACAACACTACAAATCTATTACATTTATTGAGAACGTTACAGAATGAATGTATTTAATGATGTTATGGAGGATTACTAACTCTCCTCACCTCCGTAAATAGAATTTTCTTTGTATCATATATGACAATAATACTTGATACTGAACGTAACGCATGACAATGAGCGCGCGACGCGAATACAAAACAACCGTGTCAAAGCTGAAATTTATCTGTTGAAATTCGCGTTGGATAAAGTTGACAAAATATCTTGTACCCTATACTATAGCAACGTTTTTCAATTGCTAATTATGACCTAATTAAGTAATTATTTTATTAAAATAGAACTATTTGAGGTAATCATTTAAATATTCCAAATGAATTATTAACTTTTTGGGAACTAAAATGTTGTAAATAAAGAATTGCTGACCCAATCACGCAAAATCTGTTTATTTTGTTTAAATCTCCATGACGGCACCGCGTTAGGTTCTACCACTCTGTATAAAAATTCAGAATCACCACTTTAACTTTAATTCGTCTGCATACTTAGTCGATCTTACTTTAGTCAACATGAGAGAAATTGTTCATCTACAAGCTGGCCAATGCGGCAACCAGATTGGAGCCAAGGTGAGAATTTCACACCCACATTTTAAAACATAGCTCTTCTTTCTTGAATAGAGTTCCTCGATTAGAAGAAATGATGTGATCTTTAAATTCTTGTCTCTTGCCATATCGTTAATAACTCTGGAATTTAACTGAAAAACCCTTTCAGTTCTGGGAAGTCATCTCTGACGAGCATGGCATTGACCCAACTGGAACCTACCACGGAGATTCCGACCTTCAATTGGAGAGGATCAACGTGTACTACAACGAGGCCACAGGAGGCAAATACGTGCCCAGAGCTGTACTCGTTGACTTGGAACCAGGAACCATGGACTCCGTTCGATCAGGTCAGTTTCTCTAAAGTCTTCTGAACATTTTCATTTCTCGTGGTGTGAACCGTTAGGATAAACTGTCTGCATGATTGAACTAGTAACTAGAATAATTTTTATTTGTAAAGAGAAAACCTAAAGTCATTCCGACGGGCATATTATGTCTTATAACTTTAAATCTTGCATTACTGCCCATTGCCCATTAGGTCGGCCTTATTGTGTACAGTGCCATCCTAGCAGCGTCCTAGTTCATTGAGCACAACATCATATATATTGAAATCTTGCCCTAAGAAATTGACCGAAGTCCTTTCACGTAAGATCTATCCTTCTAGCAATATTTTACCAATAGGCCACTACGAAACAATGTTTAGAGACATGATTTCATCTGAAATTGTGATCGTAGTCTCTATATCAACAGAATTTACAGTGAAGGCAACACTGAGCATTGTAGAATTGAGCCGGCTTATTCTTCGACATCATTAAAGTTGCTTCTTAAATATATCGTCCTCTTTCTAAGTTATATTATATTGACGTGCTGTATTTTTCAGGACCTTTCGGTCAGATCTTCAGACCTGACAACTTCGTGTTCGGACAATCTGGTGCCGGAAACAACTGGGCCAAGGGACATTACACCGAGGGAGCTGAACTTGTAGACTCTGTTTTGGACGTAGTACGAAAGGAAGCTGAAAGCTGTGACTGTCTTCAGGGATTCCAGCTGACTCACTCTCTTGGCGGTGGAACTGGATCTGGTAAGTTAGTCTTCTGACTCAAAACTTTATTAATTATTACAAATTTAGACTTATTCATGGTTTATTCGTCTTGAGTTATACTTTTGTCATACTTATCTGAATATCAGAATTTCTAACCAAAATCTCTTTCAGGAATGGGAACACTCCTTATCTCTAAAATCCGTGAAGAATACCCAGACAGAATCATGACCACCTTCTCAGTAGTACCCTCCCCAAAAGTATCAGACACCGTCGTTGAGCCCTACAACGCCACCCTCTCAGTCCATCAGCTCGTAGAGAACACAGATGAAACCTTCGCTATCGACAACGAAGCCCTGTACGATATCTGCTTCAGAACCCTCAAACTCACCACCCCCACATACGGAGATCTCAACCATCTCGTCTCCGCCACCATGTCTGGTGTCACCACCTGCCTCAGATTCCCTGGACAGCTCAACGCTGATCTCAGGAAACTCGCCGTCAACATGGTTCCCTTCCCCAGACTTCACTTCTTCATGCCAGGATTCGCCCCACTCACAAGCAGAGGTTCCCAGCAGTACAGAGCCCTCACAGTTCCAGAACTCACCCAACAGATGTTTGACGCTAAGAACATGATGGCCGCTTGCGATCCCCGACACGGCCGATACCTCACAGTCGCCGCTATGTTCAGAGGACGTATGTCCATGAAGGAAGTTGACGAGCAGATGCTGAACGTACAGAACAAGAACAGCAGCTACTTCGTCGAATGGATCCCCAACAACGTCAAGACCGCCGTCTGTGACATTCCTCCCAGAGGACTCAAGATGTCTGCTACCTTCATCGGAAACAGCACCGCCATCCAGGAGCTCTTCAAGAGGATCAGCGAGCAGTTCACCGCTATGTTCAGGCGAAAGGCTTTCCTCCATTGGTACACTGGTGAAGGCATGGACGAGATGGAGTTCACCGAAGCCGAGAGCAACATGAACGATCTCGTATCCGAATACCAACAGTACCAGGACGCCACCGCCGAGGAGGAAGGAGAATTCGACGAAGAGGAGGAAGAGGGAGAAGAGGCTTAAATTTGAAAACGAACATTCACGTTTTAATTTATTTCTTTTAACTTCCCTAAATCTAGCTGGATCTGGTTCTGTGAAGCAGTCGATGTAAATATACTATTTTAGCCGCGAAATTTTTATTTTGTATATATATTGTTATATGTGAGGCGAATTGCTAACAATTTTGACATTGATTTGTTCCCGAATATTCTCGTTCTTAGAATTCCGTGTTCATTTTGTATCCTATTTGACTCCTCATTTCCAATATAAAGTTGTATTATTTGGTTCCTCACATGTCAAAATTGCTATCAATAGCTGAAATATATTGCCAAGTAAATAAATCCCTGAATTTGTAAACAAACTCTAGAAAATATCAGCGCCATGATTTATGAACGTTCTTGGAACCATGTACACTGGCCTGATTCTCCGTGACTAGTTACAGTACTGCTATACCGGCGCCATGTAACGTATGTTCATCAATCATCATGATAAGTGATAACCTAACTACACCTCTAACCAAGTACATTCTTGTTGAATCATTATCACCAGAGCCGAAGCACGTTTGTTTGAAGACCCCGTCCCCGATCTCGTACTGGAAAATGACCTAACTCAACACTGATGTGAATACGGGTGGTACCTGCATTATCAATAGCTGTAAACAAACAACTTTAGAAATGTTGATGGTAGCTCTGTAATCTGTATGGACGGAGGAGTAATGTAGGACTACGTTAGTTCCGCTTGATTAAAATGAGGCAGTTTTAGTTGGGTCGTACTCTCCAGCCTAAATCTTGTGAAGTGAAGTACTAATAAGGAAATTATATGGTACATTCTGAAACAACCAGTCCACTGATTAGTTAATGCTCCTCCACATTGGAAAAAACAATTCTTCTATTATGTTCAGTTGAAACATCAGTTGAAACTTGATGAAGCGATTTACTTGATGCTGCAACTCTAGAATTACCAACAATGTTTAAGAGTCGTTGTGAGTATGCTTGCAATCGTGCATGCTTTCACAGGCAGATTTTGCGGACAGCACTGTAATCAAGCCCCAGATGATAGTTATGTTTAGTGATGGGATATAAAAACAAAACATTTTAAATATTATGCGGTTTCTTTGTATGGTCTCTTAGTGAGCGACTTCTTAGTAACTTGTAGAGTATGAAATCCCAGTAATACCTGAAATTGTAAAACTACTCAATGGAGTGGATCCAAGGATACGGTTAGCGGTATCATAACTTTAAAAAGAGCCAATCTAGAGGTCTGCGGAAATTTCAAAGAAATCCAACTATTGCCACTTTAGTGATCTGTCGCAGACGCGCAAAGACATCTTTTAGTACTAGCAACCACAAATTTAGATCATTCCAACCGAATCTTGTTGTGTTTCATTCTCTTCAGCTAGATAACTACGTAAACTGTGGCTAAGTTTATTTTCTGTCTACCTCTGCATGTGTGGTAATGGTCCCAGTTACAAATAGTGCCGGAAGTAATTACTAGCGTACATTAATTAAGGCCTGAGAAAGGTATAATATCTGGCTCTTTCTGTTCCTAATGGATGACCAGAGTTGCGGATAATGACTTGGCTAAGTTGCTGGTTGGTCATTTCAAACCGTGTCTCACTATTGATTCATAGTTCAAACCATTACAAAGGCTGTCGCTACCAACACAAATACGTCTTTATGGCTAATCGATCACAATAATTTCGTAATTGGCCTGATAGTCGTTTTCATTGGTCTAAACAGAACCTAAACAACTTTAAATATAGTTAATGTCTCCAAGTAAGTTAATCCATAGCTATGAGTTTTCGGATGAGGATGTAATTCTATTTCATTTCTACAGGAGTATAGTTATAATAGTTGTAATACTTATAATAAGATCAGGAAAATGTTACATCTAGGAAACCCATTCTCTCTTTTTATACTAGCTGTATCAACTGATTTGCTTACTCACTAGAAGGTTTACACTATTCTGTAAGAACAATCCTGAAACTGTAGATAAAATTAAAACGGAAGATTCACGGTATCCAATGTAAACTGAATTGAATTAGCCCTAAATTTAGCATTTGACGGTATAATATGTTCTTATCTGCAATTACATAATTTGAAATTAACATGGCGTTACGCCTTGCGTTATGAGAACCTTATCTACATATTAACATTATTAATTCCGTAATGTTTTTCTGAAGAAGGGCACTGTTCTTTGCTATACAGTGAACGCTTTAATGTTAAGGTTTCTTAAAGCAATGTACAGTTCTATGCTGTACAGATGAAAGCTAGTGCAATGTAATAATGTACTGTTACACAGATAGTAAGCGGCCATTTCCCGCTAAGTCTAGTAACCAGCAACTCATTAGACATAATTTCCTGGCGAGAGTTGCGAACTGCTGTCCCACTGACTCCACCTCCTGGTGCCGGCTGTACAATAACAACACAGTTTAGCTGCATGTCTAGAATAACCGTGGACTGTTCTAGAATAAATGTACTCTGACACGATATCTACATTAAAATGGCTTGCTTTGTCCTCCCGAGAGAGAGTCCCTCTGTATTCCTCGAACAATGCCCTGTAAATGATGTAGGTCTATTCTAATGTGGTCTTGTGGTTACTTTTATGAAAGTTGGTGGATTCTCTCAGTATGATAATATAGTTACACAGTTCACCTGCCCAGCTGGGCTGTAGGTGGGGAGGTGGTGACATGGTATGGCTATATCAGGATATTGTTATGATAAAGAGTAGTCGCTGAGTTGTGGGTTGATAGTGTTACCAATCTTGTAGATGAGTAGATCTAATTACACACAGCTGGGCGTGATTTAGCTCACCCGCCTCGAGGGCTGTATTATGTTTAAAAATATCCGGTGACCCTATGCACTGCTGCTAACAATCCTGAATAAATCTGCTCGTAGTAGAGAAAAACAATGTTAAAAGTTAGAACCCATGACTTTATTAACTCGAGTCAAGGCTGTATCCAATTACAAGGGGTGAGGTGACCGCCAGGCTATAATACATCAGTGAGGTCACGTGTGGGTCAACTTTAGGTCACGTGTGGGTCAACTTTATGTCACGTGATGCCCCAAACCCATGTTATCTGTCATCATGTGGCCTGCACAGTAACCTAACAACTACAGATAAGGCGAGAGTTGGTGACGTGTATTATTCAAGGGAAACTTCTAGAGTATCCAAACACGTGGGTCTCGCCCGGAAAGTTGTTACATTCTAACTCTCCTCTCATTGGTACATTAACCCGACCTATCTGCGTTCAGACCACTGATCACGTGATTTTCAAGATGATCAGACAGGATGTGGACACGTGTGCTAGGAGGCTCGCACTGGCCTGTATAATATTCTCAGTAAACCAGGCTATTGTGGACATTGGTAGCGGAGGCACGAGCCAGGATATTGTCGATGGTTAAAAGGATGCTCAATACATACAGAATATTCCTATTGGTCGGTTTAATTCATCCTGTGCCTGGTGTTATTATTTAACCATTCTTCTATAGCAGTAAACTGTTCACTGTCAGTCCACTTTAACGAGCAAAGACAAGGAGTAATTGACCGGCCGGTACTCTGCCGTTAAATAGTGAGGTTCATTATTCTAGTTTCAGAGGGGATGTTAGTATTTTGTGAGTGTCCCGCCACGTTGACAACTGTACAAGATGGACTGATTGTGAGCATATGCATGGAGAACAGTCATTAGCTAAACTTGCTTGTTAGTGATGAGGAGAAAAGAGGAGAGCAGGTGGTGGAGGCAGTCTTGTTAGATCTTTACTCTCTGAAAATATCGTTAGAGACTAAACTGAGAGGAGTCAAGAAGCTAAATTACGTACATTTCATGGACCGGACTAACGAAAATATTGTGGAGTATTCTCATGTAGTTATATGTTATAGTAGGTCACTAGTCTTCTAGATCTCTAAAATAAAAGAAGTGGAGTTGTTTAGATCTTAAAGGTCTTAAATTTGCCGTCTATTCTATCACATTCAGATAAAATATAATAAATACTTGTCACTAAACTTGACTCCCTCCAGTCCATATTGAGGTAAATCAAACACTTCTTCAGAAGTGTTTGAAATAACATTTGTTTGGCAACTTGTTTCCTCACAAAGAAGTTTAAAATTTGACACGTAAGTTCTCATGAACGGTAACTTTGGCATGTAGGAGCTAAACAGACCAAGCCTGCATGATACAGTGTGTGTAAGATTTACAGAGGGGATTTATTTTGTATTGATGGTGGAGGTAACCATAGGAACGAGCTAGTGAAGCCATTAGCCCTGCCATTAGTGGTGTCACGTGACAAATTTAGTGCCCATCTTCTGTCCTGGTATGTGGTCCTTTATTGAATTGCAGGCCATCTTCCGTGGCGTAACCATGACAACCCCTGGTAAATTCTCACCGAGTAAATGGAGTTGTGATGGGTTGTTAAGACAACGGCATATTAACAATTAGAAAAGTAGCCAGATCACCGAACTAAAGCGATGGAGAGAACTCTGGACCGTTAACTGTATCATTAATATGTTGTGTCACCTAGGAGACGAGAGAAACAAATGTTTGTTTCTGAGACCACATTCTGAATCTACAACAAAGCTTTAAGAGTTGACCAGGCCAGGGTATACCATACGTTATCCAATTTCTGCAATATTTTGAAGCAATAAAGCAGCAAAATTTGACATGTGGCTCCAAATCGTCCCTGTTTTGCGCAATTTTATCCGGTCGTTTTATTATGGTTTGATCTGAAGACTGGCTGTCAAGTTTTTAAGGTCTCTTCTAAAATGTCAATACTGATTCACCGCACCTTAGCAAACAGGTTCACATACTTCCCCAGGAATGCAGTGCTCCTAACTTGTACTCCACACTCTGTGTTATGTGTGTAATGGAAGGAATTTAAACTACCACTTTGCTGGAATTTAACTAATCGCACATCATCAAATTATATTGATGAGGTTCGCGGTCCAATAACACTACTCTGGAATTCTACACTCATCTATTAATAAAACTCATCATTACACTATGATCTTATAGTTGTTATTCCTTGTTTATGACCTGGGTGTGGATGAGTTAAAGGTCCTGTCACCACCTACCAAAACTTTTATATATTAACAATCAAGCCAGCGTCATTGACATCTCATCTCAGACAACTGTTGTCCTGAACTTTTGACAGAATGTTGAAGTCATGCCCAGATTACGACACGTTAAAAATATACTGTTTACCTGACTGAGAATGCGGATGTGTTGAGCATTTTTCTGCTTAACAACACCACTCAGCTCTATTACCTTGCAATTCTGAGTAAGAATATTGGATGTCCAATAGGTTGATTGTATTTTTTTGAACAGAAGGCGTATTATTCCTTATATAGGCAAAAATGATCATTATATTGCACAGCTGTGCACAAAATTACAGTTTAATAGGGTCTCTATGCCATAGTAGAACAGTCGACAGTGCTATAACCTTGAACTAGAGTACCTCTACAATACTAAGACAAACCCAAACTTGTAGCTATAATATCTTATTGAAGCGCACAAAGTCCAAGATTCCGTGCAAAGTCAAATTCCTCACAAACAAAAATCGAGAAACGAGAATGTAGGTGGAATAAGGGTGGAATAAGGGTGTGAGTTGTTGCCACACATTTCCATATATTCTGAGACAAAGTCGGTATTTTTATATCCAGTATATGTAGAGTGTAGATCACATCATATACTGCCGAGATTGTGGCACAGTATCTGCAGAGGAACGGTTTACGAAATCTGATCTCACGTGACTTTGTTCACCGAGTCCCACTGCTTGCAATGGTACCTAACCTTAACAGAAACCCAAACAACTTATTTAACATGGTAGGGGTTCAAAATGTCAGGTCATCGCAGTCCGCTTAGTGAACTTCATGAAAGTTTTATAAAATACTGCACTCAGACATTGGATAACGCTTCAGGTTATATCGATTGTATCCTATGGGTCCACAACAGTGAATTTAATTATAGCATCCATATTAGGTACAAGGGATTTGATCGTCGGAGATAACCCCACACAGTCAAACCATACAAGATATATCTTACATACACGTATGATACGTGTATGTAAGCTATCTTGTGGGGCTTTATCCCGATTATCCGTGCGGGATTTTGTCTGTGTGAGCTCAATAGATATGGGATCGAGTTTATGTACGTTGGAGTATAGCAAAAAGATAAAACCGAATGCATTTGCCATCGGATCCAATTCGATCTGAGTATAATTTTTAAATGTTTCCTATCCAGACAGCCTCTTCGATACGTACAACAGATCTTCTGGAACCACTGGGTAGGTAAAATTTCTCCAACTCAAACGGGCCTCTCTCTATTGGCAGTTTTATTGTTTATAATTTGGCAAACCTGTTCCATGGACGTCCATTTATCATAAAAATGTATTTACTCATCACACATTACGTTGTAGCAAGAAGGAGATTATGATAACTTACTTGATCTTTGATTTAATTCTCTCTCGGTGAAAAACCCGTAGAATATTTACTCGACTCATCATATTAAGGGAAAATTTGTTCACTAGACTTACAACTGTGCTTCTGAATCTAACCAATGTATCTGACATTCTTGGCATCATGCCACAAATGCACATTGAAAAAGTCGCAAGTATTGTCTCAAGATTAATGAGGATGAATCCCGCCTAAATTTAAAACCCTTGAAGGAATGTGTTAAGGTGGTATGATTGATCGGGACCCTCTAAGAAAGGGATAATTAGTCTAACATCAGACGAAACAGTTTTTCGCGCCGAATTGCCATTTTCGGTCACACTAATATTAAATTCGTAACTTGTCAGCCGGCGCTCAAATATTTTCTGATACAAACGTCATTTTCTTCTCTCGGTCGAGCAGGCAGCGCACATTTATCTAGCCGCGCACAACTAAAGCTTTATATTCGATGTTCAATGTTAAAAGCAATTATTTCGTTCATTATTATTTGCAGAATACAGACACATCCCAGTAAAAACAAGCAAAATCCTCTAAAATAAACACTTGTAACAGGCATCATTCACCACATACATTTAGCACCATGTACTTGTACCCCCAACTTCCAAGTAGTTCATTCAAAAACTGAGAATTATACGGAAATAAAAAGACGTCAAACAGCAATTAAATGGTCTCGCTGTTCAGGTGTTCTGTGTCAGGGATAATTTAAAACGTATATTTACTCTCTCATCTCTGCAACTTCATTGTTCATGATAATTTTGCATGTGTATAATGTATTCAGCATTCTGTATGAATTTCTGTACGGTAGTCCATAGTCGGTACTATTTTCAATTCTGTACGGTACGATTTGTACCTGTAATTTAACCTGTAATCGTTATCGTACATATGACATAATATATTGCTGACAAATGACATAGTAATGTGAAAATTTATATCGTTGAATCTAATTATTTGACCAGCAATGTTTGGCATTTTATTTTTGGGTTATAAATAACAAGTATACTGTTGACGTATATTATTTTACCGCGGTGTACCGCTTGCAATAAGCCCATGCTGAATGCTGGGGCATCTTTGTAGGTTTATAACCTAGGACTCGTCGACGGTCCTAATAATATTTGGAACAAATATTTTACGAGTCTATCACCCGTTAAGGGCATCTTTCAAGTTTCATCTTCGCAATTACAACGCTATACTATATGCTATAGAAGTGCAACAGTCTCTTATATCTGCATACATCACCGATGACCAAAGTTACAGTTATACCCGGCAAAATATCTTGGGGACAACAATAAATGCAAAGACAGAAAGAGGGGCACCAACAAATTTCAATTCAATTTAAATGCTAAAAATTGAATCACAATTAATATTTTTAGAAATAAGTGTGAGCCAAGGTTTTAAAAAAATAAATTTAAGCAAATTTGATAATTTGGGCAAGCAATTTTTATTTTTGGAAGCAAAAAAACGCAGGCTCGATCCAGGAAGGTGCGCCGCGCACTACATATTGATTCTTTCACTATGTATCTTACTCTCCGCAAAATATTTGATAAAGGAGCAACAGCATAGCAACCATGCGTAATGGTTGTCCCGCTTATCTGTGATTCTATCGTTAGTGTTACACTGCAGTTGACTGTTTCCATTTGTGTGTGATAGTCGATAGTATTGTAAATGGCCACCGTCCAACATGGACGAAGAAAGGGCACGCCTAAAGCCGAGGCGCCTGGTCCTGAAAAGTCAAAAGAGAAGCTCCTCATTTTGTCTTCGAAAGAGTGGCAAGCCATCCAAGATCGTAAAAACAAAGCTCTCCCTGCTACCATTCAGTTGTCTTTAGATATGCAGAAAGATCGTCAAGAAAAACATCAACAATCAGTTGAGCAAGTCAGTTCATGGGGTAATACCATTGTTGGTAAGCGCAACAAACGTCTGAATGCTAGACGTATACGCGAGGAAGAAGAAGAGATAGAAAGACAGAAACTGGACATAGAAGAAGCAGAAATCAAAGCTGCCGAGCGTCGTGCTGCTATTGAACACGCCAAGAAACTCCAATACTATCAAACTGATCGTGTGAAGGGCTTTCACGGAGCGTTGTTGTTATCGGAGGTTATCAAGGAACGTGAAGCTCAGATCGAGTTGAAGAAAGAAATCGACAATGCAATGAAAAATGCTGATGACCATCTTCTTCAATGGGAAAGGAATCAGCTCAAAGAAGCCGCTCGTGTAGAGAAAGAAAAAGCTGAAGTTCGTCAACGGGAAGCTGCGTTATTAAGAAAGACACAGTTCGAGCAAGCTGGAGAGAAAAGAAAACTTTCGATCGCCGTGAAGGTTCAAGATATTGAGGAGGGGAAGTCCATACAGAAAGATGTTGATTTGTTCCATCAAGAAAACACGAAGAAAGCGAAAGAAAGGGAACAGAAGGCTATAATGCTAAAGAAAAATTACGACCAACATCTTGAACTGGAATCCAAGATTGTTGACCAACAGAAGATTGCTGACAAACAGAATGATCAAGAAATCAGACTCTATGCGAATGCAAAGAGGAAAATGGCTGGTCTTAGGAAAAAACGAGAAGGTGAACTTTTCCAATCTTTCCAAAATCATCAGCAAGCAATGGTGGACCATCTGGCTACATTAATAAAGGAACAAGTGGACGATGAAGATAGTCGCATAGCAAAGGCAGTTGCAGAGCGGGATTCCAAACGTCAAGCTGAAGAGGAAGATGGCAAAAAGAAGCGAATATCAATGCAAAAGGATATACTCAAACATCGCCTGGAGACCATGACTCTCAACGATCAGAAGTCAAACGAAACTAAGAAGGACCAATCTCTTGATCTGCAAAGGAGAATCACTGAGGACCAGACTTACTTCCAAGAACAAGAACAGAGACTGGCTAGTAAGAAAGTTGAAGAGGACGAAGTCCAGAGCATTCTTGTAAAACAAGGAGTAGAGCGGTCCAGCAAGTTCCAGGTTGAGAAACATAACGAACTGGAAGCTGACAAACGTTCTGCTCAGATGGTTAAGGAAGAGGAGGACGAGTTTCAGAGGTACGCTGATGCTGTTATCGATTTGGCCAAGCAACGTGGGCGACCCGTCGGACCACTTATCAAAGCCAAAAATGCCGGTGCTGGAGGTGGCAGTGGTCCTATATTTGAAGGAAAGAGCAACCTACGACCCAGTTATCAAGCGAATGATGCGCATGGTAACCAGCTGCCTCGATTTGCAACTGGTACTGCTAAGAAAATCAATGAGTCTTCAGACACCAGTAAAAGACTAGGTTTCGTCTGGTAAATTTTGAGCAGCTTGACATTTTCAGATAGTTTGTGATGGCATTGAGCATGAGCAGGGGTAAGAAATTGGAACACTGCTAAGAAAGAACAGACAGATATATCCCTTCCTTTTAAATGTGAATAGCTTTAAACTGTAGAGCTTTGAATGTAAATAGTGTAATTGAATGTGCTGTTTTTCGTTTACAAACACTCATATTGGGCATATTTTGAGTGTTTTTCCCTTAAATTATTTCTGAAACGATCCTAAAAATTGAATCCAAATGATATCGAGTATTTGATTTGTCAAAATATCTTTTCCATTTCAGCGCATTGATTTTATAGTATCAAGATTTGATAAAGTCTTTTGTTAATTGCAGATACATACTTATTACTTAGTTAACATTCGACTAAGATGTGTGAACTTGTCTGTATTTTATACCAAATTGAAATTCATTTATTTATTTCATCGTTTCATTGTATTTGTTTGGTCGACCGCTTGTTTCCATTCCTGACTTATTTGTGTCTATTTGAGCGTTCATATCTTCCAAAATTTTCTCATTTTCAATGCCCGCAATTTCAATATATATTTGATGTGCAGTATTTTGTTCCTAACAACTGACTATATTTTAGGGCTATGAGTTCACCCCCAGAGGAAAGCACAGGGCCCTCAGTTGACTCGAAGAAGAAGGATGAACGTGTTTTAGCTCGCAGAGAACGTATCATCAAACGGAACAAAAATGCCAAACATGAGGGTTCTTCTGTAAATCAGGTTAAAGACGAATCATGTGAAGACAAGAAAACTGGTAAGAGCAGGAAACAGATAACGGTTAGTAACCAGCGGATAGAAAAGTTACGTTACGATGGATCCGAACTTGTGACAAATGTGGGAGTTGCTGCGATGGCCCGGGAAGATGCACGAAAGGTTGATGAGGAGAAATCAAACAAGGAACGGAGGGAAAAGTTGGAAGCAGAGGTGAAAGCAAGCATGGAACGATTTGAGGAGATTACTAAGCGCTGGGATAGTGCTCATGCAGTGAAGGTTCCTCAGGCACTAGATGACATGATGACTAATCAGAGAGAACTGATTAACAGCATGATTGCGGAGAAAGAGAAGATAATACAAACTTTTCAGTTAGAGCTCAAAGCAAAGGATGATCAGTATGTCAAGGATCTGAAAAAACAGGCAGAAGATATTGATCTGATTATTGAGCGTATGAACGCACAAATTAAGAATCTACAGAAAGCTTACAGAGAAGAGTTGACTAAAATAGATCAAGCTTTCGAAAGTGAGAGAATAGAACTTCTCGACAAACAACGACAAGAGTGGGAAAATCATATGCAGCAGAGATCAAACAAGGAGATCGATTATTTAAAGGAAGCTGAGCAGCGTGTTGAAGATTTCTCATCACAACTTCAACATCTCCGAGTGCAAGACGCTGAAGAGTACAACATGGTCAAGATAAAGTTGGAGACTGATGTTCAAGTTCTCGAGCAGCAATTGCAAGCCATGCGAGCTACCTTACCAGCTCAACTCTGAAAAACTTGACTACAATTTCCAGGTGCTGAAGAAGCGAGACGAAGAAAACACGATCACAAAGTCACAACAAAAACGAAAGATCACCCGATTACAGGACACCCTCAACAATCTGAAAGGTAAGTTTGCAAAGCAGGAATCCAGTTTCAGAGAAGAGAATCAGCAACTTGCCGATGTGTATAAACGCATCACTGACCAATTTAAAGAACTCCAGAAGAAATCAAAACATTTCCAAGCAACAGACACCAAAAAGTTCATAGATGTGTGGGTTATGAATGAAGAGGAAGCTACCGATCTAGCACGCAAGGTTCTTGATGAGGATCGAATTATATTCACTCAGCAGATCGGATTAGATTGGGGAATGCCAGAAACCTCCAAAGTTTTGGAAGGAGAAGGGAGACCTTTGCTTGCTGGGGAACCTGCTAAAGTGACCTCTACTTCATCTTTGAAATCAGCTAAAGCGGCAGCTGACGATATTATCAGAGCTGCCTCTGAGGCAGGAAGCGGAAACCTAGAACAGTCTAGATCAACATTCGGTACTGATAAGGGACATGTCTACAATCCTGTCCTCATTAAGTCTGTTTTGGAATTACTCTGTGCCGAAGCTGATTTTTTGGTCGAGAAGAAGCTTGTCCATTTACTGACTCCACTCGAACACGACGAACGGCTTTTGATGAAATTAGACTCTATCTTCAAAGCTATCGGTGTAGATACTGAAGAAGACATCAATCGGCTGACTGAATATTTCATTGTAAAAGGGGATGAAGCTCATGAAAGTACCTCACTAATTCACCCAAATCAAGTTCTGAAAGCGATTAGATTATTTGTAAGCGAAGGGGCGTCTCCCAACAGAGTATTGACCCAGAAACAAACGGTCGAATTTGACGAAACTGCAGCAGAAAGAGACAGTGGTAATGATGCCAACTATTGGCAGCGTCTTGCACAAATTCTGCCCAAGACCCACGAAAGAAAGTGGGATGCTCTTCTAACGGGAATTCAGAAGTATCACAACGTGTTGACTCATCGTTCCAAGCTCATCGAGGAGACAGATAAGTTACAGAACCAGAACTCTGAATTGAGAATGTTGTTACAGCAATATATTGGGTCACGTGTTAATCAGGACCTTCAGATTCCTCCCACTCATACAATCCCAACTGAGATGCTCAGAGATTATGCGATCGATTCATAACTTACTGATCTTTCGAAACTTTGGGTTTTAGAAACTTAAGTTAAATGAGTTGTTTGAGAACTTTATGATATAAATAGCAAGAGAAGACATGCTTTAATAATGAAAATGATTGAGAGTTGGAAAATCGCCAACAAGTTTTGAAGATCTCTAACACATTGCGGACATTTTATCTCATTTCATCTAATGAACTTTTTAGATCATCTGCTGCTGTGTAATATTTGTGTAGAAATTGCATAGCGAAAATGCTTGTATATTTGATGTTTTATACAAATTCTAAAATAATTTTATTCTTATTTGATAATTAGCAACGTGTGTGATTTTAAATCTGTATATTTCTGACATCCATCCATTATAAAACTCTTTTTGCTCTCAATTTGATTTAAATAAGTCAAATAGTATTCCTTTTTTAACATTATTTCAATTAAACATATGATTTAACCAAGCATTGTTCATGTTGTTATAATCATCCTAAACGTAAACATTTTATAGGAAAGTCAAGATGACTACAAGGCAGATATTGAATGGTGAGTTTCATATTTCCTTATGTTACTTTTATTTACAAGAAAGCCATTTGTAGGATCTGCGATTGAAACCTGGGATTTTATTAATAAATATTTAGCTATTGAATGAACAGCATGATATCAAGCTTTTGCTAAAATGAGGCTTTTTTCAGTATTTGAGCAGTACCAAAAGGCAAGGACAGCATTTGTCCAAGCTGTAGCCGATTTGTCAACACGTCCTCAGAACATCGAAACTCTTCAAAATGCAGGTAGCTTTAATATTGCGATTTATATTGCAATTTGGAATTAGATTTTAGATATGCCTATTTTTTTGAGCTTACGTCAATTATCTGAATCTCATGACGTGGTTCTTAATGAGAATCGTATGAACTTCTGGTACCGTCAATGTATAACTATAGATATTTGTTTTGCCCAAATTTAGGTATCCTTAAGCGATAGTAGCTAAAATATCTTAGATATTTTTTATCCCACGCACGCATTTGATATGAATGCCATTTCACTCAGGCGTCATGTCGTTGTTGCGTCCTCTACTTCTTGACATCGTTCCCTCTGTACAACAAACAGCAGCCCTCGCTTTGGGGCGCTTAGCTAACTACAGTGATGACTTGGCTGAGGCAGTGGTAAAGGGAGACATCCTACCCCAACTCGTTTACTCGCTCGCTGAACAAAACCGGTTCTACAAGAAAGCTGCTGCGTTCGTACTGCGCGCTGTTGCAAAACATTCGCCACCACTGGCTCAGGTTGGGATACTATAATACACTCTAGAGGGAATATTTTAAATTTAGCTGTATTTACAGTCTTGCAGTGTCTTATTTTCAAAACAGGACACAGGTTTCTCTCTGTACACTGTACCACAAGTACCAGTGACAAGTTCTTCGTGTGTGACCATGTCACCGAAGTTACTTTGACATGACTATCCGGTTAATCTAATCTCAGAGGAACATCCTTAGCATTGCAAGGACCTGACATGTCTTCCTTTTCAGACACTGTTACTAATTCATTTGTCTGAAAAACCCTTCATTATGGTATTGCTTGATGAAGAGCTAAAATATGTATAAATACATTTTTGGGCGGAGTACAATTTGATGGGAACTTTTCTGAGGATCATATTAAGGTTCTTGTATTCATAACTCTTCTGTTTCCACCGTCAGTATTATAATTGTAAACGCATATTCAGGCTGTTGTTGACTCTGGGGCACTGGACGCTCTGGCGATCTGTCTTGAAGAATTCGACCCCGGTGTAAAGGAAGGAGCTGCCTGGGCCCTTGGTTACATCGCTCGTCACAACGCTGAGTTGGCCCAATCTGTAGTGGACTCTGGTGCTGTTCCTCTGCTTGTGCTTTGTATCCAGGAACCTGAGCTTTCTTTGAAACGCATCGCAGCTTCAGCTCTCTCTGATATTTCCAAACATTCTCCTGGTAAATATCTAATTGATCTGTCTTGGTCTGAAATCGTAGTTTTATGTAGTGCAAGCATGCAATATGCTTGGTCAGTAGCATACGCATGCATGGCATATTAGTGGTTTGATTAAAAAATGCTCATATTCGCAATATATATAATATTCTTACATTCTCAGAAACGCGACAAATTAGGATAGATCTAGAAACACAGTTTAAGTCTTTGTATCTAATCATCCTAATTAAATTTGGACACTTTCTGTTCAAACTTTTAAAATTTGATCTCCAAATCCCTTCAGAGTTGGCTCAGACTGTTGTTGATGCAGGAGCTATTGCTCATCTCGCTCAGTTGACTCTAAATCCCGATGCTAAACTGAAACGTCAAGTCTTCTCTGCACTTTCACAGATCAGTAAACATTCGGTTGAGTTGGCTGAAATGGTCGTGGAGGCTGAAATCTTCCCTAATATTCTGACCTGCCTCAAAGGTAAACATCCTTCATATTTTTTCCCGCTCAATCTTTTCGAAGGCAATGATTAATGATATCAAGTTAAGAATAAGGATTCAGGTTAACAAATGTTTGAGTGTTCTGTTTTCACCTTTTCTCTGTGTAAGATAATCAGATTTATTATCATCAAGTCATTATACTGTAACTGATTTTTACAAGCCATCTTGCTGAGTGAGAAATGGTGATAAAATCATACTGTTTCTGAACGGTTTCATTTGAAAACAATTTTTTTCTATCCTAAGTATCCTATTTTAAGTTCCCAAGTACCAACATGATTGTATATAATATACTGACGCCATGAATGACCTAATTTTTATCAGATTCCGATGAGTACGTCAAGAAGAACTGTGCCACACTGATTAGAGAAATCGCCAAACATACGCCAGAGGTAAGGACTTTAGTCTACTCACTTTTGGCCAGCGAAATGATCTGAGTGTAATTTCCTATATTACCGTCCATAATTCGTAGCCTGGACACGCGCGGCTCTCGAGTATACTAGGTCTACTGTAGGTTGTCAGCATTTTGTCACTCTGAAAATTGTTGAAAGCACAAATTTTCTAGCGCGCCGAGCGCAATTACGGCCGTTTCCATGACAACGCTGTAAAATCAAAACAGTGCAGTCGGATTATTTACTCTGGTCACATTTTGTGACCGATTTGAAGGACTTCACTAAAATACCTTACTTTCCAGCTCGCACAGTTGATAGTGAATGCTGGAGGTGTTGCAGCAGTTATAGACTATGTGGGTGATAGTTGCGGAAATGTTAGACTGCCAGGTATTATGATGTTGGGTTACGTGGCTGCTCACTCCGAGAACTTGGCTATGGCAGTTATTGTGTCTAAAGGTGTCGTACAGCTGGCAATTGCTCTACAGGAAGAACAAGAAGATCATATACAGGTGAATAGAACGCTCCTTTAGAACTGTTATTCAACAGAAATTGTAGATTGTAATTTAATTCCTATTTGATTCCTATGTTTTGTATGATGGATAATATATGAATAATATGATTCCATATTTTCTCCTATTTTCTGGCAAATAGTGTTTTTGTTGCAGGCAGCAGCGGCCTGGGCACTTGGCCAAGCTGGCAGACACACTCCCGAGCACGCTAAAGCTGTAGCACAAGCAAACGTTCTCCCTACCTTGCTACAATGTTATTTGAGAGCTGGAAGTTCAGAGGATCTTCAGACTAAGGTATTGGAACTTTCTCAACCGTTTCTTTTTTCGTGTATTAAAAGTGGATAATGATGGATCAGGTTACATGTTTGGTTGCGAGTAGGCCTAGGTACGATGTTTTAGTATTGTCAGTTTAAGTTGAGGCATTACTAACCTGAGTTTTTCGGAAACATTGTACCTCTGCCTTAACACGTGAAATCGTGCATTAACACGTGACAGCTGCTTCTGCATTTGATTGGTCACTGATTGATTGAAAACAAAGGCACGAGGCAAGTTGGAGGCCAATTTAATCTGATAAAACTATATCTTAAGGCTCCCGTGTCGCAAAGGAGAAAAATGAACATATGCTCCTTTATTTAATAACGATGTTGAGTTAGTGAGGACCCAACTGCGTGACAAATAGGTTAGAAGTGGTATTTAATAACAATTCAGCCATACAATGCACTATTTCATCATAAATATAATTCTTATTCAGGCGAAGAAAGCTCTAAAGAACATTCTTCAAAAATGTGTTCACCTCCCAGCACTGGAACCACTTCTTCATGATGCCCCTCCAAATATACTGAAACACGTTGTAGCTCAATTCTCCAAAGTAAGTTAATTTCCCCACATGGAAATTCGGATGAAGTGTTCACTGGAGACAACGATCATTGATCAGTTTCAGTATTTACTAAAATGTAACTTCAATGTTTGTAACAGGTGTTACCTCACGACCCCAAAGCAAGACGACTGTTTGTTACATCTGGTGGTTTGAAAAAGGTACAAGAGATCAAGGCTGAGCCTGGATCAGCGCTTATGGAATACATCAACGTTATTAACGGCTGCTATCCAGAGGAAATCGTCAGGTTAGTCCATTTAAATTTACCAAGTAATTTTTTGAGTATTTCATTAGAATTTCATTATTTCAACTGTAGTTCAGAATTTAAAAATGAATGCTGTCAAAATTTGTATATATTCTTTTAAACAGTACACAGTACACATTACACAGTACACAGTACACAGTACACAGTACACAGTACACAGTACACAGTACACAGTACACCCCATTGTAATACAACTATTCCCCACAGGTATTACTCTCCCGGCTACTCTGAGAGACTCCTCGAAAGAATCGATAACCATATGCCAATAATGACGCAATAGTTAGTCTTAGCCAGCAATAAACAGACTTTATTTTTTATTTGTAAATATGTTGAGTTCAACTATCTTATAAACTGTGTTGAGCTATGCCTCATTAAGATAGGATGAAATTTGTTGACTCACAGTCAATGTATGTAACAGATTGTAAAAACACCACTGTTTATACGTTTACATTTCATCCCAAGGCCAAAATCATGAAATCTCAGTGAACTGAACTGATGGAAAATGGGCCTGTGGACCGGGTGCGGTATTGTTTACTTTTGAGCACGTTGCACTTAAAATGCTCAATTTTTGTTTATATCTATTCTGTTGATCGGTCTCTTTACATGGTCTGGGCTATCAGTATAATGTAATTTATTATTTTGATTAGCCTGGTTCTTGATATCAGGGAGTACAAAACTTTACGAGTAAAAGAATATGTTAAAAGATTTTTATTTAAATATTCTTTTATAAATTGCGATTTTATCTAGATTTGTTGAGAGCAATCGGATGTAATTGTATAAATGCCAGAAAACACGAAAACACTAGTTTTAAGTCGAATGAGGTATAATCATTATGGTACAAGATCTAAATTACAAGTTTCGCATAAAGTTTAAACGTTTATCTGTTATCGCAATTCCCTACATCGACAAGTTTAAGAAATATAATTAAGACAAAAATAATTCCTCTGGTTCAATTTTATAATTGCATCAACCGCTACTGAGGTGACATCACAAGATATCCTTTATTGCTCGATACATGGAAAGGCGAAAGCTTTTTCTCAGAATTACTCTTAAAAGATAGGTACAACTTGTTACTTTCAGCCGATGACAATGAAAGTAGTATAAATTCCTTGTACCCCAAACGTTCCAATTCAAAAGGATGCTGCACTGTATTGTGCTACCAAAATTATAACAGGACCTAACAAGGTGCCTTCGTTGCAAGTTTCTAGTCTTTGTCAATTTACCAGACTTAACAAGCATTCCTTAAACCACGATCGAGATGTGGTTAAATTTAGCTTCACTTTTTTATCTTTAGTTCATAGTTGTCCCCACCGTCTCTTGTTATGAAATCTAAAATCTTATTTGATCAATTTCTATCATTTTTAAAAACCAGAGCTCATAAATAAGCATTATCGTAGACTTTGAAAGCAGTGTTTATAACAATCCCGCATGAAAAATGTCTTCAAGTTTCTTGTCTCGAGTACTAACAGTACCGTCTGTTTTTTAAACTCTCTCACTACTTATGACACCCCCACTTCTGATCTTGTTATTCCCAGTACATGTAGAACTGGAGTTAATGCCCACTTGAGCAAGATTTGACTGTTGGTTCATTAGATTCCTGCACACGCAAAACAGAGCCGTTATTAGGGTGATCATTCCAAAAATGGTAAAAATAACGAGTCCTGTATATTTGTTCATGTCTTGGTGAGAGTTCATTCCTCTCATATGTATCCTGTTTGAAAAGCATTAAAAGTTTATAAATATATTACAATCATTTGTTGAAAAGAGGAAACGTGCTGTCAATGAAATATAGTAGAATGAGACTTAATTGTGTATATTAGAACCATGTGATAGTGTAATGTCTGCATTCTCGTTATCAATTAGTAATAAAAGTATACCAACTCATTATCTTATACGTGAATTCTGTATCATTGACTTATTCATATGTTTTGGATTGTCTCAGTCAATAGCAATAAGAAACAAAGCGCAGCTGTTTTAGACATAAATTACGTTGGGCATTGAAGTAGATTTTTGAATAATGAGCATATAATTTAGCAGCACTTTAGCTATATTAAGCAACAAACATTAAGCATAACAAAAAAGTCAAAATTGAAAAATCAACACCACGACTCAAGTTGCTAATTTTACATGGGTACCATAATGCCAGTATGTGACGAAATAGAAAGTTAATCAGCAGGTCGGCTGAAGGAGATAGCAATGAGCGCGAGTAGCACGACTATCACTTTAATAATGGTATTGAACAGACTTTGCACCAAGGGACCGGTTTTAATATTCATTTACCTTTAGTACAACTAAATAACCAGGCACCCTGTGAAACTGTATAAGATTCATCGGTAATTGAACAATGAACATGCCTATCACAATCATGATAGAACGAAACAACTTGTTATCTTACACGTACGCTGAAACTGACAAGGTTGAACTGACCAGCACAATCTTCTGACTGAAAGGCTCGTTTTTTATATGAAATGATCACAAGCAGTCCCGTCCGTTTCATTGATAACGATTAAGAGCACTTTGGGGAAGGGGTCGCTTTAAAACCTTCCAGTTCAATAAAATGGCCTTAGAGTCTTTTTGCTTTTAGAAGTCGATCTTAGTCAAATTGCGTGATTCACAGAATGAAAAAATTTGAGCAGTGCTCTGGAAATAAGTTATATTGAAGAGATATTTAAAATATATACTTTTTTAACTGTTAACGCTGATTGGGCGACATCTGTCCGACAGCGACATCTGTCCGACAGCCGAATTAGGGATTTTGGACAGATGTCGCTGTCGGACAGGAGTCGTTTTTGGCGACATCTGTCCGAATTTCGGATCATATTGTAATTTCGGTTCACATTCGTATTTCACAAGCTCACTGGTAATCTCGTGACATTGCTCCCATTGTTCTATCGCTGATGTGATCCATTGAGATCTGATCCATCGATACGTGATTCATTCATTTATCGACATCAAATGAAAATAAGCTATGGTAGTAAACTATGGCTCAGATCATATCTTAAATTGGAAATGTTACGTATACAACATAGCAAGTAACAGTTCAGATCATTTCTCTAATTGGAAATGTGTCGTATTGAAATCAGATCACAATTTCGGACAGATGTCGTTTTTTTCTGGTACCCTGAGTCGGTTCACGTACTGTAGTGCGACACGTACCCTAGTGCGAAACCTCCAAGATTGACACTGTCACACTAAAGTACGCTACCTGGATCGTAGTGCGACACATACCCTAGTGCGACAGAGAATTTTCAAGGCCGACACTGTCACACTACAGTCGTACTACCTGGACTGTAGTGCGACACGAACTAAAGTGCGACAAAACACTTTACACATTGAATAAAAGTTTGACTTTCCATTTTTAAGTTTTAAATGTAATGACAAGAGTGTAGTCGTGTATGAGTAATGGGGTTAAATATAAAATCAAAGATTCAATTCAAATCATTGTAATTCCGACACACTTCAAATAATCCATTCTGTCATAATCATCGTAGCTACCAATCACAGCGTTCAAGCGACGGTCGTTATCGGTCCACTTCTTCAGTCGGCGAGGAGGTGGTTGTCTGAGCATTATCTGGTTGATCTTCCATTGGGTTACTGTTAGATCCTGCTCCTTCTTCAGGACGTCAGGCAATTGCCAACAGCGTCAGCAATTGCCAATTAGGTGTTTCGTAGGGAGGTCAGTATCGGAAGCTTTCCGTTTCATGCTCTGCTTTGCTGTGTAGACAGAGTTTGCTGCAGGAGTGGTAGGGTGGGAATGGGTCTTCAAACTGGTCACAGTAGTGTCGTTCGTCAGACTGAGGCGTCCGAAGCAGGTCTGATCAGTGCATCGCCAGTAGGGCTTGTCGTCGCGCTTATTATCCAGGCAGTAGCGGTATCCGTCCTGGATAACGTTTCTTGAACCAGTAGTGCGTCCAGGAATGAGGGTGATTGTTGATGTTGTTCGATGCTTCGGTAGAATCATCTGACAACGAAGGAATTATGATCAGTGGATTACTTCGAAACACGTGATGTGAACCGACGAATCATATTCGCAAGATCACTTCGAAATAAGTGACGAATTACTTAATGGTCCATAAGAAGGATAGGATGTGACCTGAACTTGGAAATAAGTCAGGATATTTTGTCGCACTAGAGTACGCTACCTGGATCGTAGTGCGACACGTACTGTAGTGCGACAGAAGGCGTTTTTGTCGGACTTCGCACTAGAGTACGTGTCGCACTAGAGTACGTGTCGCACTAGAGTACGTGTCGCACTACAGTACGATTACCCCTGAGTCGGACAAATTTCGCTGTCGGACAGATGTCGCTGTCGGACAGTAGTCGTGTTACCGTTAACGCTATCCTATGTGTATGACCAAAATCAAAAAGTTATTGTTGCTGATTGGCAACTGTGAGCAAAGTTAAAAGATAAAGATTTGATTAATGATAAGTCCTCAAAATGACCCACTGATAGAAAATGGCCATTAAAGATTGTTCTTAGTTGTAATAACAATCTGGTGACATAACCAATAACAATTATGTTCAGCAACATAATTAATTTTGCGATTGAGTGTCTAAAAGATCAACAATAAACTTATTACCCATTTTTATTAGGGACTGTTCTGTTCAGTCATAACGAGAACGTCATCAATTTTGGCCCGTTTAAGCCCCCGGACCCCTCCCCCTTCTTGGTTGTGAACAGCACCTCTCCCTCCGTAATTACATCAGCATTTTCCAGACCACATCCAATCCTCATTTCGGAGAAAAACTTGCCACATCGATTTTATATTTTGGTATTTCTCATACTCTTGCTCATATTACTTCGAAAAAGTGCAATGTTTCCCACAGTAAACTAAAGTGAGACTATTTGAATATTCGGCCATCATTCCCAGAATCGTGCATATCGTCATGTTCAATCGATCCTCAAGAAATCTGAATTATGCACTTGTCTTTTATTGGTTATATTTATTGGTTTGATAATCTAAGATCTACAAATTCATGGAAACGGTTACATTTACATTTTACAAGCAGCAAACCTCAATTAAGCCAAATTTGCTGCCGTAAACACGCCGGGAAAAGGAAATATAGATTTTAAAAAGTAGAATAAACATATAAATTCAGGTGGCAGCGCAATTGAAGTTTACATTTTTTCAATGTTGCGCACGAACAAAATTGTATTTTTAAAGCACGAACAGACTGTTTTGTGCTTTTGGTATACGGTAATACAGCAAATTTAATAAAATATGAGTGTGAAATCATAATTGTAAAACCTCTTCCCACTTACAATAGTCACGTAATTATAATGTAAGCGATCTCTCAAAGAGTTAGGGGGCAATTCATTTGAAACAATAAACGTCAATTTAAATTCAAATAGTTTATGTAGCACATCTTATCAAAATTATAGAGAAATATTGATACAAAGTTAGACTGCCTTAAAACAACGTTTAAAGTTAAAATGCATTACTTTAGCTTTGAAGTGTCAATTATTAACAGAATCGTCGATTAAACATGATTTGAGGCACAAATGAGAGCTATGAGTTCAAATATTGTCAAATTACTGTCAGTTTTAAGTAAGTTGTTTCCTTTGCGTCGATGAAGCCGAATAAAACTCATCCAATCTGAAAGAATTTGCCTTTATATAATCATATGATACATGGAAGGATTGTTGGTCATATCCTTTGTGCAAATTAAGACTGAACGAAGGATCTACAAGAATTGCTTGATTTTGCCAGCAGCCACATAACTACAAAACGTTCGAGCAAATCGTTGAGTCTCCAGCTATGAAAGTTATCTGTCCATGGGGCTGCTAAAAAGCTTGTATGTTGAATCATACATTGTACAATTCATGTAATTTGCAATCTTGTCCAAGAAGAGTACGCTGTGTTAAGATTGAGACATAATTTCCGTATAAATCGAAACTTTTTTATCCAGTGGTACTATTCTGACTTCCTCGGTGATTCAGAGTAAATATTTATCGTGTTTGTTTGAAGAGTTGATGTAGGAACCCCAGAAACGTTTCTTCGCCACATCAAACTCTAGTCAGTAAGCAGTAAATAGCTGTTCTAACCCCACCACTCAACGTTTAAAGTGGCCCTCTGAAGTTGGATAACTCAATTTATGAACTTGTTAAACTCTTATGACATTTTTAATCTGATTTGAGGACAGCTTACAGTCAACCCTCCTCAAGGGGATAACAACATCAACCCTCTGGCATTCACAACAGTTACTGGAGTTTGCTGTGTCACGTGGTGCGGACACTCCTTATGGTTGGTTAAATTGAACATAATCCCTCTTTTGAGGGGTAGTTCATTAGGTCCATATGCATAATAGCCAGCGTATGCCCCGCATGCAGCCACGTGTCAGAGCTTCAGCCTTCTTGACTATCATCCTCATCAAAATTCCTCAGTAGATCTTTATAAATTAAATAAATGATTCCTGTCAAAATACCTCTCGATGACTGATCACATAAATTTCATTTATTTTACAAAAATAACATACCGCAGAAAGCTCTGTCGATAAATTTCCCAGGGGTCCATTATTGATAGCAAGCTTGTATTTTGTAATAATATTAAATATCCAATTGTAGCGACCAGACACCAGTGATATAAGAAATCGTTATCATATGTGGGGTGATAATCTTGCTGAGAATGAGTAATACCATTCATCATATCAGTCGAGTAGTAGGGCAAGTAGTAATGACTTCATTTAATTTTTAAATGGAAATAAAACTTACTATCGTTGAACCTTGAACCATTGTCCATACCTGGCAACTTGGCATGAAGGCATGCTCAGCCTCTTAACTCAATAGAACATGTTTTTTTTTTCAAAACAATGTTGACCTCATAGACTACTAGACTCGGCGTGAACCCTGAAAATTCATATCTTGTACCGGTACTTGCACTTCTGGTTCTTGTTTAACTTGAGTGTTAATGATAATCTAAGTTCCGGGTGCAAATCTAGTTAGAAATCCTCGGTAGACTGGTAGAGAACCATTCTTACATGTGCCCTTCTCCGAGCAAGCCCATTGGTTTTCTATGAATAGAGGGGCTTTTCATTGGCCCTCTTTTGGATCTGCTTTCTGTTGAAAATTCTACAATTGGTATCTATAGGATAAGCTAAATCTAGTTATCAATATCAGTAACCTATAAAAACTGCTAGATCCCAATCGGTGGCGTAAACCATCTGATATCACACTTCATCATATCTGCGATTTTACTAGCTGATACTTAGTTAATTAAAGAATCACTTCTAATCATGATTGGGCTCTTCTGAAGCAGTAGACGTGAAATTTCATTGTCATTTTTATGATGGTTTAAGTTTGCGCATGACTTTTCATGTATTCATCAAAGTTCGGGTGAAATCACTTATATAGAATGCTCCGTAGTTTTATCATCCGTCTTTCTTCATTATAATTATCCATGACTAGTCTCTTTAGTCCTCTTTTCTATTGCGATAAAGTGATATTTTTACAATTTAATTTAGTAATGAAATTTAAAATTAGCAATCAGCAACGCAAGGGTTCATCTAAGAAACATTTTCTCAGAGATATCACGTCAGGATACTGAATAATCCTTGCTTCTTCTAGCAGATCTAATTAAGCGCCTACATCTTCAGAAATCAAGGCTAGGTGAATTTGATCACTTCAACTTTACAATTGCATTGTTCAGGCAAAGTCGGTCCCACCCTTTGCTAATGGCATTAAACTGGCAATTTACAGGTCCATTAGGGACTTGTAACTTTCTATTACCGACGTTTAGTATTCTAACTAGCTTGGGAATGAAGCCACTTGGAAGGAGCACTTTGGGCCCATCTTTATCCTATCTTCATTATCATGCAGATTGCCGAGTCAATGTTTATCAGTGCTCGGGGACCTATGTTAGCAGCACTCAAAACATCCGGTATGATACATACTGATGATCGAAGAATTTTAAGAGTTTCAAATGGAAATAAAATTCATTTTTTCGAAAAAGTTATGTCTGTTATAAATTTTAATCCATTCAAAATTGAGCATATTTTAAAGTTGAATATTATCCCGATATAGTTTTATTTTTTGAAGACTTCGTTCATTGTCAGTGTCTAGTCTTTGGTTTATTACAATTTACACTTGATATCACGTTCACTTGATATTGCGTACGATGACATAGTCTGACCTATACTACCTGTTTCACGTTTTATTGCTATTTCGGTTACGGTACAGCTAATCTTCGACCACCATGACTCTTAATTCGCCTATAGATCGATTAGATTTGTGATTTTGTGGCACTTTTTTCAGTTAGAGTCTGCGAATTTGAGGCCCTGGATACCACGACTATCTCTCCTTTAGTCTGACTGAACGGTCCATAATTCTGCGAAGGACAGCTGAGTAACTGTTACCATACTAAATCATGGACTGCTCATAATTTTAAGTTGAAACTCTACATATAAGTTAGGATTTGTGAAGTTACTCCTTCCAATTTAGGGATCAGGGATTTCCACAAATTGCCCTAATTCTTATATTATGTGTCTGACAGAACATACAAAAGACTGTTCTGTAAATAGTACTCAAAATCCGATAAATCTTTGGTTGGAAAATTGTTATTTACCGTCAGAACCTTCATAGTCTGAACTAGGAAGGTTTTATGCTTGCTTAAAGCCTTGAAATTGAATAACACTTATTAATGACAAATTTAGTCTTTCTCTGTAACTAGTGGAAATCTTCCGTGGATCGGCACTCAAAAGCCGATATTAATTAAGTTTTCATGATTGGTGGAATACTAGAGTTCGTCCAGGCTAATGAGTCTCTCCAGTAAGAAAGTCTAGAATGGGAACTGCTAAATATCTCAAAAAACAATTGTCTGTGTTTGTTTTAAATTCAGACTAGTTTACGGATGAACCTTCACCTCTTTCCGTTCACCCTACACATTATTTGTTCAGCCACCAAATGTGACAAAGTGAGGGGCGGAAGTAACAGGGGGGATGTTGTTTTAGCGTCCTTTTGTCTGAAAACAGCCATAAATTTATTGAACAGTCCTTTATTTTTTGATACAATTTGCCTGTTACTCGTTGGTCCTTACACAGTTGTTTATAAATTTGCCCACGGTTAACAATTGAAAAGCAGGATGTTTCAAAAACCCTTTTAGTAAGACGCCATTGTTCCCCAGGACCTCCCTGAACTGAAGGAGTTCTATGTTTTAGGGTTGCGAACTTCTAGCATACTTCTCAGATTTTACAAAGTCTCATCGATCTTTGATATTTTGACGCACCGATCTGATTGGTCACAGGATCCTAAACCGCCTCTTCCACATAGCCTTCATCTTTAACGCGCCTCTTCCAACGCTGCGCGTGATTGGTCGAACCTAGCTAGGCATGATGCTGTTGACGACGCTCATTCGGGCTCTCTAACCATCCTTCCCTTGATCTGAATCAGTGTCCTTTCCTTAACAATTTAATGCGTTGTCCATTTTTAATCAGATATGGTATTAGTAATGAGAAATTTGCTTCCGCCAATAGTTGCAGACCTATTTTTAAGGGATCTCTCAGGGATAATTTAACTGGACATTTCTAATCTGTAACTTGGTTCTTACTTAAGTACTAACATATAATATATTGTAGATGCATACCTAATAATTTGAGTCGGGTCATTTACTTCCAAGTTTAATTTTATATAAATCCAGTTAGGAACGATTTAAAATCCTGATTTGAATTCTTGTCGTCCTTACACTTTATATTCCAGTTAATCAGGATGGGAATTTTAAATGAGCCCAAGGATATGCCAGCAATCTTCGAGTCGAGACCTTCACAAGTCCCTGGTTACGGCATGGGAGTATGGACTCGGCAGAACGTGAAGCAAGGACTCGTCCTGGAATTTGAGTACATCGTAACTCAGACCACTAAAAGGGGTCTTCACATTTGGGAGGTAACTGATTCATGTAATTTATGTAACAGTTAATCTGACTTTTATTATTTTCATAATCACCACTTCTTTAATCTCTTTAAAACCTGAGTTTTATAATTTTCATTAAAACATCACTTTAAGTTTAACATCTAGTTTTGAGTTGATTATTCTTCTTAGATAAATGATAGATTTCCAAAAAACAACAATAAATTTTCCAGTTGTTTGAAGGAGGAGTGGTTAAAGGTTATGTGGACACACGAGGTACATGGTTGCGCCTGGTACAATTTGCTCGAAATGAGTCCGAAGCTTCAGTTGAAATAGGACTTGATCAACAAAACAGACTGAGTTTTACTGTAAGTCATGGTGCAATTTTACTTTATGGACATTTTGTTTACGTTTTATACTGATTTATTTGGGGCTGGAGGAGAGGGGAGACATGATTCAACCTCCCAAAGTGATTTTTCCACATTTACTCTCAGGCTTGCTATTGTTTTATGTTTGTTTGTACATGAAGTGACATTAACAGTGACATTAAATATACCACAACCATTATCTGTAAGCAACTATTTAGCTTGATTATTCAGACCAATGAAAACAATATTATGCAGGATTTTCTAATTGGTTCGCTTGACAAATTTCAATGAGCTAGTCAGGCTTTGTACACCGTCTGATTACTTTCCAGCACAGTACTGAATAAGAATAAGAACTTCTGAGGCCCCATATGTAGTTATCACGTACAGACAAGATTCAAGAACTTGGTCAGATCATTAGCTTTTATTTTTATTTTTTTATTTAGCCCTAATAATTCTGAAAACAGGTTTTGAAGGATTTGGACTCCAAACAAGAACTGCTGATGAAACTGAGTGAGTCTTACAGGACAGCCATGGGAGTTCCCGATGACATAGCTGCAATAGGTCAGTCATGTAATTGAAGACGAAACAATTTCGTTTCCCATATAAATTAGTATTCCGATTATCAATATCTACAAGAACTGCTTTCTTACTTCTTATTTCGCTTATCAAGTTGTAAATAACATTTCTCGGAAATTGTTTTAAACATATAATGTGATTTCAGGGAGTGTTTATGACTGTGGCTGCTGTCCTAAACTGTTTAACCATCCACTCTCTCTGAGTATTCACAAGCTGTATTACTGTGGAACGGAAAGTTTCCTGTGGTGTGATGACTGTGGCCAAATTTTCGCACTTGTTGAAACTCTTAGAAATCACATACTCGAACACATTGCAGGTTTGATTCAATTATCATCTGCAGCCACGTACAAAGTTGAATCAAATAATTAAACTTTCTAAAATTACAATCCTTGAAATAGATGAGGATAATCGATCAACACTTTTCAATTTTTACTTTCAGAGAGGAAGACAACTACAAGACCATTTGATGCTGAAAATTTATTGAAGGTTGAGGCACCAAGTCCTATCAAACTGTCTCCAGTATCGTTTCCTTCTCACTTCTTGCCTGGATTTCTACCTTTTCAGACCTTTAAAGAAAATCTACAGGTGCGATATAGGGAGGATTTAGCACTAATTTACGCCAGATAACATGTTCTATTCGTGCAGTGTTACTGTTATAATTGCTTTGATTTAAAATCCACAACTAATTTTTAACTTAGACCTTTATTGTTTACTATTCCCTCAGGCTTTTGGAGAGCAAGTATGGCCATTCCGGTGTGACCACTGCAACAAGCCCTTCTCCCACCATAGCTCTCTCAGAGTTCACCAGAGAATGCACACAGGTAACTAGCATGCTTGTTGAGGGAGCACGCCCTCTATTATTTCTAATAACCTTTCAATGGAACTAAGCAGTTAGTTAGATAAACATGTCAAATCATTTAGGATCGTGGGAGTTCTGACCGGATCATCATGTCTTTAACAAGAATCTCGTCAGTCCCAATCTGCTCATAGTTAAGGTGCTTGTTAAATGATCGCTTTATCATCAGCAGTGGATCTCAGACTAAAAGCAGACAAACCTAACAACAAACTTCTAATCCCAGGAGAAAAGCCATTCAAATGTGACGCGTGCTCCAAAACATTTGCAAGGAGGGACTCTCTACAAGCCCACGTAAGAACACACACAAAGCCCTTCACATGTGGAAAATGTGGCAGATCATTCGCCAGACCTGACTCGCTGGTCGCCCACGCCCGGAATCACGCCGGACACAGCGACAGACCCTTCAAATGTGTGGAGTGTGGGAAAGGGTTCGGTGTGGCCCAGGCTCTACAGACTCACATGAGAATACATACAGGTGAGCGGATGTGTCTGTGATTCTGGTGGAGGTTGCCAACACACAGACAGACAAATTCTCCTAATGTAAACATAGACATGCGTCTGTATAAGAGTTCATCCTGTTTGACTGTTTGACTGTTTGTTCTGTTTTCTAGGAAGTATTGCAAGGTCTCTGTCTGGTCTGTGTTGCCACGAAAACCGCCAGTTCGTCAGCTGTTTAATTCATGAATAATCCGTTTATCAACTGTGATATGGTACCTGAACTTCCCGTGTTTCCACAAACTGATGCAGTTCAACTAGTTGAGACTTATGCAATCTGATAAGCGATAACAAATTTTAAATTTATTCATGGCTTCGGTTTCGAGCGGTTTCCTAATCTAGTTTCCTGTTTAGGCACACAAAAAATTGTTGACGTAATTTTCCACTGAAACATACTGTTTTGCAAATCATGTACAAATATTATATAAATATAATTAAACCGAATATTCTGACATATTCTTTTCAGGGGAGAAGCCCTTCAAGTGCAAGCATTGCCCGAAAGCCTTCGCTCACATGTCTTCTCTTAAAGTTCACATCAACAGTACTCACACAGGAGTGAAACCTTTCAAATGCCAGGTGAGTTTTGAATATTTATAGGAACAATGACCACACTGCATGAAACACTGTATTTTACCGCAACTCATTTGCCAACGCCTAGTAATAAAATACAGACATTATATAAAAGTATAAAGCGACCGAAATAAACCTAATCTAGCCTTGGTGACTGATAATTTAATAGGTATTAGGCATGTGATAATTTTATGTGAACCAAAGTCGAGTAGAAGCTTATTAAAATACTACTGTCGATAGCTTTGAAATATATTTTTTCTGTTTGAGATTTGAATAACATTATTGTAATGTTCCAAATTATATTTTAACTATTCAAAGGTTCAAAAAAGTAGAGATTTTAGGCTGTAAGTTTGTCCTTAAATTTGAGGACATTTTCTTTTCGTGTGGTAGATTAATTTAGTGAATACACTAAAACCAATTTATCAGAGCAATTCCTTTTAACATTTAATCAATAAATGATCAAAATTTCAGGATGTTTTAAATTTTCAAAATACAACTCAATTCTAATTCTAACTTTTTAGCATTAGCGCAATTCAGAATCATTCGAAGCATGCCTAAAGAAGGCTTTGCCAAAGATGTAGGCTAAGACTTCTATATTCTTCAGCACCAAAATCGTTAAACAACTTGAGCTGGATGAGATAGGAGCCATTTTCACGATCATGAGCTGCGATATGTCCAGTTCGCCAGGGAGGGAAGGAATCACCGCACAGATGAGCTGCTTTTTGTCCTCCTTCGGAGATCTCTACAATAGAGGGTCCACAAACTGACCCCAAGCCCACTGACACGGGTTTAGCGTAGAGATAGAAGCCTTTTGAAGCTGTCACTTTCCATGATCTGAGCAATATCGGGAGTTCATCCGCTGTGGTAGTCCCTTCTGGTTTTGTCATATTGAAAGTAACAAATGTTTCAGGAGATTCTGGGGAAAGAAATATTTCCTCTGTCTCAGAAATGTCGCAATTTTCGTCAGCATCACCGTCACATTGGCCCTTCAGGCCATCACAAGCCCACACAACAGGCATACACATGTTTTGGGATCTGCAGTGGAACTGATTTCCGGTACACTTCATCTCCCTACTCGGACATTCTCGCTCATCATCTCCGTTAGGGCAATCCATACAGCCGTTACACACGAGAGAGTGTCTAATACACTGTCCTGTGTCACTGCACTTGAGTGTATTCTCCGGACAGGGGTAATCAATACAATCCCTCTCATCATCACCCAACAAAGGGCAATCTACCTCTCCATCACAGACGTACAGACTGTGAATACAGTTGACAGTCTGGCCGCAGTTGTAGTAGAGTGGAGCACGGCATTGGAACAGAGAAACTGAGGCGTACCTTTTCTCAAGGTCCAGTCCATCAGAGAAGGCGAGTGGGGATGAGGCAAGAAGCAGAAAACAGTAGGAAAGGATCATATCAGAAGGTCATGACAACTGTACAATAACTGGCGCTCGGAGTCAGTCCTGCAAATAACCAGACGTGTTCTAAGTCGCTGATCATAAGCTCTTGGGATGATGGCGATCAAGCTCCAACTTTGAGTTCAACTACCCTAAAATAGTAAAATAGTAAAATGATATTAAGAACTTTCTTGGATCGGTAACTCGGGCTAGTCACACTATTGTAGTGGAACATGTTCCTAAAGCTATATGGTGATCAATTTATTAGATCCTGTCAAACAGTCAAATCTTGAAGTTGTCATTTTACATCAAACTCGCCGGAAGCCAATTTTGTTAATAGCTAAGTTCATAACAGATAATTAGAAATTATACAGAACTCATGGAAGAAACATAACTGTATACTTCATTAAGCAATTGAATCGCACCACGTGACAGCCGTTTTTTCACTGGTCTATTCTGCCATGATCATGTGGTAGCATGTGACATGTTTAAGGTAGTTTATACCACCTGCTTATCAATTGAAGGCTAGAGATATCTAATCTCATCTGTGCTCTGTTGCCAGGGGGCAGGGATGGAAAAGTGGAGGAGCTTGAGCTGTATTCAAGCTTTAAAGCTTCATTGGCATTTAAAGATCAATCGTTTCCCTTATTTGGGCTTTTGCATAATAACCGGTTAACTGCTGGACAGCCAAAAAGTGAAATGAAAATATCAAAGGTACGGAATGATTAATATAATCTTGAAAATGAGAATGATGGGATTTGGACTAGAATACTGAGATATTTCAAAAACTGTAAGTTTGACCCATTTTTATAATTTCTAAAATTTGTTGCAATTCTGACACGAATGACGTGAGTTATTAAAGTGTTGCGTGTGGGCAGTTTGATCTTTGAACTACATACGGTACAAAGCAAAAAAATCAAATCGTGGAGGTTTTTCACAATATTCATACAAATTCGTACAATATTCAGCATCTCGGGTAATAAATAGCACGATGATTCTAAATGATTAAAACTGTAGGTAATTAGTTACGTACTTACAGACAATAAACTAAAAGTACAATTGTACTTAACCACTTTCCATGATGTAGCCTCAGTTTTACTGATATGAAGTGATGAGGTTGTGAATATTGTCAACATTTAATTACTTTCAGTAGAAAATATCGATCAGTCAGACAACCTCGCACTACAAGTCTGATTGAGACTATAAAAACCATAAGGAAAATTTTGATGAAGTCACCAAAATGATTTTTTTCGATCAACCAATCAACCTTCCGATGAAATTCGACTAATTCTGTTGAACTTCTGCCATCAAATCGCTATATATCATGCTCTCTTCACCAATTTACACATGCTGAAATTATACAGACAGAATCGTCGATTGAATAATGGTCCACAGTAAGTTAAAATTTGGCAATCAAAATTGAGCTTTATTACAAATATAACTTTGGTATTACGGCAAATTAAAAGTTTCGCCTGATGATCATCATCAGTTAAATGTTATGAAATACAACTACACAAATAGTTTTGGGCAAATACTTAATACAGGTGATAAACTCTTCTCAATGATGCTCAGGATTGTGTACAAAACAAACTTCTTTTATGCTTTCCAGACATCAATTAGACGGCACATTCCACACGCTTATTGTCTGTAATTGTTCTAATAGGACCCTCACACGGCCTCAGTAAGAGTATAGTGAGGAGCATCCTGGGTTAGAATCAAATATTACTTTCGTTTCAGATAAATTTATACGCAGAATTTGTATCTGTATTTACAGATATTATTTAAATTTCTATATTCCATCTAGTTACAACTAGGAGTCAGTTTCTCTTGTCAGCTTTAATTTTCAACTCCAACGATTAAAAATTTACAATTGCTACTGCTTCTACATCTCATTTCGAAATTTATAAAAAGTCACTAAAATATTGAGGTACAGATTTAAAAACGAAAGAATTGAACAAACGATTTCGGAAACTTTACAGCACATCATCCAAAAATTATAAACATGCTGATGACTGATATAACTGTAGACTAATATAATTGAAGACTAATATAATATCTCCTCCTATGAATAAACACCTAAACTTAATACATTTTAATACTACTACATATATACCCTATCAGACAAACATATAAAGGTCATGTGGAAATATGTGTACACTTACTGATTATCACAGCGCGCTGGTTACCATTATAGTTGCTCCATGAGGCGGCGGCTCACTTTCCGCTTCTCATCAACATCTTGCTCATTACTGTAACATATGCTGCTCTTCGTTATAATCATTAACTTGCTCATTATAACCGTAACATTATCAATTGTCGAACTACGGCCCATTATAGATAATAACCAATGATTTTGGTACGGTATACTCGCAGCTTCAATATTAAATATCATCTAACAATCTTCGCCAATCCACTCACCAGCCGTTGAAGTTCTAGTTTGAAGATGTACCATCTGTTATCTAATGGTGTCCACTTGGTGGTTTCAACTCTAATAAAATATACCAATGACTCATGAGCTGGCTATCACATCAAATTCGTCAATTTCTCTCAGCCCTTCATTCTGCACCGAGTTATCACAATTTCATCAAAAATGTTCCAAAAAATTATTACGTAATATGTGAACGACCCCTTGCGTGATCCCGGACAGATTATTTCATCATATTTTTCTGAATGCTCTAACAACATTGTCACAACTCATTGTAAAATATTTAAAACGTCAATCTGTCGTGTCAGTGATTCATTGACTATGATTTTTTTTATAGTTTCAAGGAAATTGAGGCACAGTGTGCACACCCTCATTAAAACCCCCGTTTTAATTTGTCGGGGAATAGTGGACAGTGGTACACTTGTTACTCCAACTCCATTTCAGAGCAATGACCACAAAGTCAAAAACTTTATTCCAAATAACTAACCATTACCAGTATTAAATAAATTTTAGATTAATGACAATTTTTACTTTGTTCCATAATCCATACTAACTTCATCTCTTCTCTTTCAGCATTGCAGTATGAGATTTGCGGACGGATCCAACTTACGGCGCCACATTCAGACTCACACTAACGAGAAACCACACGCTTGTAAGCAGTGTGGCAAAGCTTTTGCGCGGGGTAGTATTCTGAAGGAGCACATGAGGACACATGCTAAATACGACACTGCAGCCCAACAACATTCTCAGCGAACCTCTCGGCTTGTGTCCAGCACAAACACGCATGAGGTCGGCTTGTTTTCTAATTCTCGGGTTTAAACAGTGTTAAATGTTGCATAGATATTTGAACTGAACCTTGTTTATTGGATACAATTATTTAGTTCTAAACCCAAAATTCAGGGATAGCATACGATTTATAACCCAGATCATAATTTCAGGCCCCAGATTATCCTATGGAGACGATGATTAAAGTCCTACAGCAATACCAAGGTCTTCACCGCTCCTCCGTCAGTGCTTTCAGTCCTCTTGCTCCTTTTATTCTCAGTCCTGAGGAGACTCAGAAGTCATCCTCAGCCTTCTCAAAGGTGAGATATATCTGATTCTTTTCGTTAAGACGTAGTTTGAACTATTAAGTGGTACTGTAAGTTGTAATTATTAGATCTACATGAGTTACATCTCATATCTAGTATACCTTATCGGACCTTATTTGGACGGACATTACATGAACGGACATAATTATGAACGGACATTAATATGAACGCTCGAAGGCATTCAAAACCATCAAAAATCCGAATTTTTTTAAACGTTTTTTTTACGTTTTTTAAATTTCAGCAAATGACTTTTAAATCCATTTTTTATACAGTAAGTAAGAAAAGCAGTCATTAATATAAGCAATAAAAATGTTTAAAAATGTGTACATGATCAGTCTAGTGTCTAATATCACATATCATCTTCATCAAATGGGTTTTCGTGCATGAAATAGTCCATGCTTAAAGCATCAGTGATTTCTAGCTTTATGGAAACCTTTTTTATCAAACTACCCGGGTCCTGCATTTCAGTGTTAACTTTTACAAGCCATTCAGCGTGAAGTGGTTTTATCTTAGACAACTTAAGGTTAACCTTAACATCACGTGGAGCTCCACTGGAGCTTTCCTAGCACTGTTCATTACCGCCCCGAGTAATATGAACTATAAAAACGTCGGACAATGTCCTTGGCAACACGATTTACCGTAATATCTAGAGGCTGGAACAAGTTTGTCATGTTGGCGGGGACTAGTTCATGAACTATGTTGTTGAGTGCCATAATTTCGTTGACTTTTTCCGCCAAGTGACCCTTGAAAACATCATATACTAGTAGTAGTAGTAGTAGAGTTTTCTGTGCCTCCGGCAGACCAAGGAGAACCTTTCCGTCGTTAACTTACGGCACAATAAAGTTCTCAAAGTTGTCATATTCTGGACAAAAAGTTCGAAATGGAAAAATTTTTGAAAAAATTTCAACGGACTTTAACTTGGACGGACATTAATTGAACGGACTTTATTTGAACGGACATTAAGATGAACGCTAGGGCCTCCAGCGTTCAAGTAATGTCCGTCCAAATAAGGTCCGATAAGGTAGTAGTATCTAGTTGCATGTAAATTTGAATAATTTATAATACTGATGAATCTTTTTCAGCCAATGTGCACTGCTACTGTCCAGTAAGGTTACTCAGACACAGAAGGTTATTCAACCGTGAAATAAATCCATAGACGATGACAAATTGGAATCTAGCGACACAATGATAAATACAGCCATTTTGACGTAGTCTGTACGGTTTAAGTTAAACTGCAGAAACTTTTCAGAGCAAATGAATGATAGTTGTTTTCTTTAGGAGCAAGTTTCTAATTCAACTAGATTAAGTCAGCTAAAATAATTAAATATTTGAATTTGAATGGTAAAGTTTGATAAAATGTAAAAAGCCATTTTGTGTATTGTTTCGATGTGGTTTGTTTTATCATTAGTTAAATAATCATTTGACCCATGTGATACCATTGACATGGACACATTAAGTGAATTATTTATATCCCAAACTATTCTTAAATAATAATATTTCACACAGACAGACAACAGAGGCCGAATTAATTAAACACTTTATTTTCTGCTAACATTATTGAAATATTTCCACGGAAGAATATTTGCCAATTAGAAATAATTTTAAAACTAATCAATAATGTAATGTGATAGCAGCATGGATTTCAGATACTATCATTTTCGTATTGCGACCGCTTAATCTATAAGTAATAAAATAGTATTAGTAAATGGTTACACAGAACTTTCATTCTAGATATTGAGTTTTTCAGATTCCTACTGATTTAGCTCTTGAGATGATTTTCAGATTTAGTTTTATTTAATCTTTATTTGATGAGATTGTTTTACTTCTATAATATATATATTTAAAACTAAAAGCCTCTAATCGGTTGGTGTTAATGCAAGTTGTGAAACGTAGACAATTTAATGCTTAAGGGACAAAGTAAGACTGATGCTGGGGATAAAAGTACCTTATTGGACGTTATTTGACCGGAAATTGATTGAACAGACATAATTTTGAACGGAAATTTAAAATAAACGCTTTTAAGTCTTGGGCATTCAAAACCATTAAAAATTCGAATTTTTTAAACAATTTCAGCAGATTTGTAAATCGATTTTTTATATAGTAAGCAAGAAATGCAGTCGTTAAACATTAAAAATGTTGATATGATTTAGTCTGATGATAAAAATTGAATTTGAAAGTCAATAATTTCGTAGAGGAATACTTTTGAGGAAAAATTTCAACGGACTTTAATTTGGAGTTGGACGAAGCGTAAATGTACAAACTTCGAGTTCGAGCGGACATTAAAATGAACGCTAGGGCCTCTTGCGTCCAATTAATGTCCGTTAAAATAAAGTCCGATAAGGTATTTTATTATTTACTTTATCGGACCTTATTTGAACAACGGACATTAATTGAACGCTGGGGGTCCTTGCGTTCATCTTAATGTCCGTTCAAATAAAGTCCGTCCGTTTGAGGTCCGTCCAAGTTAAAGTCCGTTGAATTTTTTTCCAAAATTATTCCACTGCGAACTCATGTCTTATCTAGGATATTATAAATATAACTTTTTAATATCAGTCAATTTTAATTTCTGTCATTGGAATAAATTATATCATTGGATCAATGAAAAACAAGTTATTATCAAATTTAAATATTCTTAGTATCGCATTATGGCATGATCACTTTCTTGATCTTCGGCTTCCTCGTTCACTTCTTCGGAATTACTAAATTTACACTAAAATGCAGGACCGAGGTGGTCTAACAAAAAAATGGTTTCCAAAAAGCGGGTATCACTGATGCTTTAAGCATTAACCCATTTGACGAAAATGACCTTTGATATGCTCATCAAATCCGGTCATATTTCGTACCTGTTGTTTTTAAACAACTTTCATAATCATAGACACTGATATATGATAGATATTTTGACATTTTTACTGCTTAACGACTGTAAAAATTGATTTACAAATAATCTGCAGTTAAAATTTTTTTAAACGCCAAAAAAAGATGGACAAATTTGGATTTTGATGGTTTTGAATGCCTTCGAGCGTTCATTTTAACGTCCGTTCATAATTATGTCCGTTCATTTAATGTCCGGTCAATTAAGGTCCGATAAGGTAGTTCCATGTCCACCTCAACGAATTCTTGGTGATGACTGGCAATGAAAAAGATGCATAACCACGATATGATTATGATATCGCTGATTAAAAGATGCAATAACTAAAATTATTAACAAATAATTTACACGATTTGAAGTAGGTTGACGATTATAAACAAAAGTTAAAGCTGATTAATTAACTGATTAATTAGCTGAGTAATTAACTGATTAGGACTAGGTGCCCGGCTGCACGGACGCGGACAGCACGGGTTGTTTGGGAACCTAATTATGGTGATTTTTATGGTTTCTTTACCGAATATCGGATGTTATTTGACCGGACATCATTTTGAACGGACATTAAAATGAACACTTGAAGGCATTTATTTAATGTATTTAATTTAACTACCTTGTCGGACTTTATTTGAACGGACATTAAAATGAACGCTATAAGGGCCTCCAGTGTCCAATTAAGGATGATGATAATCACACTGCTATAGTTTTCACACTCAAGCACCCTAGCACCGGGCCAGGAGACATAATGTCCGCAGGAGGTTAACCCATTAGGGACGATAGGGTCGTTTTTATGACCCACCTTTTCTAGACGAAAAATGCTCAAAATTTATTGGGCTACATATAATGAAGCCCAATAAATTTTGAGTATATATGCTATAGATTCGTTATAGCGTTTAGTAATTTGGTTTTTCGTCTAGAAAAGTTGGGTCATAAAAACGACCCTATCGTCCCTAATGGGTTAATATGTAATGAATTTGAACATTGCTATGTTTTTATTTTAGTTTAATGTAAATTGTCATCAGAACTGCCGTCTGTACACTCAAAACAGGAACAGAACCTATAACAAAACTTTTACATTTTAAAATTGTATAAATTCTGACAAAACACGAACCTTTTTTACGACACAGTGCCTCCTTGACTACTAATTTCGTATCATTAATGTTTCAAATTCAACGCCCAGGGATAAAGATTATTTATCTGTTTATGAAAACAATATCGCATTATATTATCCTCGCCACACCTTCTGAGATAAACACTTTACTACCTTTTTACAGAACCTCCATGATGGCGAATATTTGGTTTATAATATCCATGTGGTCTCACTCTCAGCGCCCTTAAAAAGTATAACTGAATAAACGACGTGGTTCAATTAGCTAATTAGATGAAGTCATTTAATGATGCCTATCGTAAGGACAATTATGCTGATCTGTGAGGACTTTTTTGACGATTTTATTCATTGTTTAATGGTTTCTAAATTTGTACACTGTTCAGATCGATTTTTACTGCGCTTTTAGAACAAATAAACAATTTGAGTTAAAATGAGGAATGTAAAATTGAAGCAACAATTTGAGAGCAAGTCAGCGTTATAAATATTAAATAAGGGTTAAAAATGTTAAAAATGTTATCTATTTCATTTTAGACGTCTCCACTTGAAAAACATCAAAAATTATGAATCACTTGACACATATTCATTGAATTATTATCATGTATATCAACTGATAAAAAATTAACTTACATGATAATGATAATAAATCAAATAAAAATGATTTCACATATTCGCTGCCTAATTTGAAGCCATTTACAATCAAATTGAAGAAACTTTCGGTGAAATGTCACGTGTTTATTAGCCTCACCAAATCTAGGAGTAGATTTAGAACTACATTGTAGTAAAACATCTAAACTCTAAAAACGCACAAAAGCATAAAATATTTTTATATCTTCTATGGTCTAAATCTAAGATACCTAATAAATGATGTGTTGTTTGTCTAAAATAATTGTATAAAATCAGGTTATCAGGAACTTTAAGTGAACTTATAAATCATCAAAAATCAGAGAAATTGAAAATCAACCATCACAAAAAATGATAACGAGATTCCTTATAAGTCAAAAAATATTAGAAATGCCTTTTATACGGCTCGAAAATATTAAATCTTTTTTTCTTGAAATTATATCTTTGACCATCCATGAGGGTTTTTTGATGAATTTGAACATGAGTTATGCCAATGGAGATAAATTGGTGCCAATGAATCCACTGGTGATGACGAATGTAACTTTAATGAATGCACTGCCCCTATTTTATGAATAAAATTGATAACTATTGGCGATGCCCGGGTTCAATGATGATGCCAATTTTGGTGTCATATTTGGACTCCATGGATTCTCGTAAATGGCGATACTGAACCATGACCATGAGATAAGCCGTTAGAATGCATTGGTTATCAATACATTTAATGATTATCCGGGTGTTTATTGGATAAGTGGCACCAATGACGATAGGTTGAAAGTCTTGATATATTTGCCGAGGTTTTGATAATATTAATATTAATGTGGATCAATTAAAGCATTGAAAGGTAGCATGAATAGATTTGCTAATGTGGATAAATTAAAGCATAGAAAGGTGGCATGAATAGATTTGCTAATGTGGATCAATTAAAGCATTGAAAGGTAGCATGAGTAGCTTTGCTAATGTGGATAAATTAAAAATAAAGCATTGAAAGGTGGCATGAATAGATTTGCTAATGTGGATCAATTAAAGCATTGAAAGGTAACATGCATAGATTTGCTAATGTGGATCAATTAAAGCATTGAAAGGTAACATGAATAGATTTGCGATAATGAAATCGAACTTCTTATCATTAGTAGGACAAACATCGCCCATAACATATTTAATAATACTGTCTTTAAACTCTTGTTTCTCATGCGTGGCGTCAAAAATAACATCTCCAGTTTTTATATAAGAAATAGGTTCGCGAAAAGAAGGGTTTAAAATGAAGAAATGATAACTTTTTCTGTGTCCAAGGTTTTCTGAAGCTAGACGTTCATAAATACGCCTCACAAATAAGGTTGGCGATGTTAGCCAAGATAAATCTCGATTAGAATCAGATGCTTCATCGTCCAGAACTAGCCGAGTCTGTTGAATTGGGTTAATGCAGTTACAAGCGTACAGGGTAATTCGTGAGTTGTCACAAGTCATTTGAGTTGTATCTGCTATTAGATTCTGACAGATCTTGCTATTGTCATGCTCATATGAGCATTTGAAGTTTGTTTGGAAATAACGAAGATATTTCAATTTCCCCTCATATAGACTCACTTCTAAATGAATTGATTCCACAGTTCTACCCTCCCAAAGGTTAGAAACAGAGAGATTCCTCATAAGATCAGAACAGTCCACAAGAAAAATACACTTGTTTCGAGAAAATGGCCAAAAGGAACACGAACACGGACCAGGATGTAGTCTGGAATAGTCTTTAGAGCATGTTCCAGTGATAGTGCTGCCGTAACCTATACTATAGGTTAAATTAGTATTGCAGTCAGATGTTTCTGAATCAACATTAAAAATCATTTGTTGAATAACTCTGATAGGATTATGTTTATATTTTTTGAGAGAAATGTGCGCTGTAATAGAGTTTTTAGTTCGTTTCTCTGGTGTAAAATAACAGGTGATATTTAGGTTCTTTTTATCCACCTTGCACGGACCTGAAATATAATTTTCCGTTACAAAATCCGGCAAGACTTATTAAAACTTTTATTTTGAGATTGGCCTAAAATGTTTAGTAGTATTATACATAATATAATCTTAAATATTCGCTGCAATTTGATCTAATGGTTGCCATGGATATACATATAATCATTATCGACCTTAACGGATGATGAATGATGATGGATCTATGAACCTTTATTTTAAACACGAAACGGTTAAACGGCAGCCCGATTCGACGAGGAAAATAATAAGAAAATATAACCTGTAA